GCGGTCTCGTGATTAAGTCTTAAGTTGAGGGCCAGGCGAGTTAAGCTAATTACTACAAGCGCTTATAAGCTTTTTGTTCTTTGCTTTTTTTAGTTTCAAAGAGACAATTGAATGCCAGAAAAGCTTAGATATTCGTTCAGAGATTCCTGTTGCATTGGTCACTGGCGGAGGGGGAGGGGAAAGCTTTCTTCATCTCGCATGACATTGACCTCTTGTGACTCGTTGACTCTTCCGAAAGGTAGGGAGATTAATCAGCCATCAAAATGGTTTAAAATCAAAATTTATAGTCACGTGTTTGTATGTGACATCCACCTCCTTTGGCCTTTTGGCTTTTCCCCTTGGGAACGAGGTTACTGTGTAATCAGCAAATGTGACTGAAAGTCAACATGATGTCAGCTAAAATATCCATCGAGCGCCTGTACCCGACCACATAGTCTGGCCAGTTTGCACAATTGAAAAGCATGAAATCTTCGAATAAAGAAAGTAGTGTTCAACGTGGGTCGAATTAGAGAAACATTTTAGTTTTTAAATGGAAATAAACTGCCAAAATATGAAGAGAAAAGGATAAAAAAGATCGAGACTTGGCTAGGTCAGTGCCCACGCTGCTAAGTAAAATTAAAAAGGGTGGTATCCATAATCGAATTTCAAACACTTGTGAAGACGATTTTGAAAAGTTTTGGTTACTGGTAGGGAAACTCAGGACGCAGAGCGCACGTTGAGTCTAAGTTTAGTCATAAAATTACTGGACTACGTACATTGGTCTGGGTTATTAAATAACTCTAATACTGATCATACTGATATTATAATTCCAATTTCAAAATATCGCACAAAAAAAGACAAAGACGCAAACAAACAAAAAAAATCATCTCATATCAAAACAAATCAAAACAATCGCACAAAAAATTTCCGAATAAATACTTTTTTGTGAAAAAAAAAACCTTAGAAAAAAATTAATTTAAGTCGCAACAAATCGATCAAATCCTTACAGATTATCCTGAAAAATCCTCTGAAATATCTGAATATCCTCTGTAAAGTAAGGAAAGCTGCGATGATCGCGTATTGACTAGTATTAACGGAATGCCGTACCGTTCGGCCACTGCAGTTTACTCCTGAAGCATTCTTTAATTGCTACTGAATAAGAAATATGTGGAAGTTATGCCGTTTTCCTTCACGTAATGTTTAAAAAGGTAGCTTATTGAATTCGAGACATTGGAGAATCGAAAAGAGAGAGCTTAATTGATCCTGCTAATTGATACCCTTACCGAGGGAAATTTAAGGGCGCCTGTTAGGCCGGTCAGAAATTTGTCAAAAAGAAAGCATCAGGTTTTAAATTTTCCTCTCTTTATCGCAGCATCCACCCGAGCCAATATGACTGTAGATCTGCATAAGTTTTCTAATACTTCCTCCGTTTTAGCGAAGAGGGTCGCCGGCTGTCTAATTCGGTATCTTTAGCTTCATAAATCCTTTCATGTTAAAAGCGTTTTGCGGTTATTTTCGCTGTGCAAAATAGTCAATGAGAAATTCACATAGCTTTTCAAAGTTCTGTATTCTAATTGTCTCTTTTGAAAATAACAATTATGGCAGCAGAGCCTGTTGAACCAGACACTTTGTAGTAAAGTGAACCTCTTTGTTTTTGGAGAGGAAAAGATACCGACTCTTTCAAATTTTCATAATGATTCCAACAAATTATGTCGGCATTGTTCGCGGTGTCTTTTTAGGACGTTTGAATTTCCAAAGCCGAATCTTAACTGCATAATTTTTCAATGAAACATCCCTTAGCTTAGCGAGATAAGTTTAAGGAAGTCGGGTAATATTTGTTTTACTCCTTAAGCGCAGTTCCCCACTCTTTTCTGACGATATACGAGAAAACGTCGATCTGCCGACGGGAGAGAATCAACAAAAAATTCTGCGTTTTGGTATACTGATTAAGTTTATGGTTTTGCTTTTTCTCTCCAATTCAATTCCATATTGTCTCCTTAACCAGTGCTTGCTCAAAATAAAAGTATTCCTGACCATTTTTCATCATGCTTAGAAAAATGCTTAGAACATTACTGGAGTTTTCAGAATCAAGTATACCACTCTTTTATGGTAATCACCATGGTTTGGAGCCTCTAAACAGCATGTATCGACTTCTCGAATGATTTGTCTTTCATCTGACACCGTGGGTTTCCTTTTCAATGTCAAAACATTGAGAATTTCTACTTTCCTTCAGTTAGCTTTGAAATTTAAACCGGCCCCTTTGAGATTTTGAACAGGGTAAATCGTCCTGAGAAGTTTAACTGAAATGTTTTCCAAACTTATTTTTTGTCTTGTTTCATATCAAATATGCTTTAAGCAAAAAATAGATAAAAACGTACCAGTACGAAGTGAAACTTTTCATGGGAAAAATAAAGCACGATTTTTTATCAAAAACCAGATATAATTGTCGAAATGAACAATACTCATATATGCCCAGTAAAAATGTAACAAAAACGGCTCCAAAGCCGTCTATCATTAAGACAAACTTTTCGTCTTTCGATGCACTTAAAAAACTTTTCAAAATGACTTTCAAGACAAATTTGTTGCTGCCGGCCTCCTGAATATTTCTTGAGAGCAGTTAAACTTTCAGCAAAAATAAATATATCCATCGTCATACTTTAGGAAAAAAGGGTTTCAAGTATCACATGGCGGCACAAACAATAGTCTTTGGGGTAATAATCAGGAAGATGTAATTTCTTACGGTGGTAAGTCTCTTTGTAACCGAAGGAGCTGAGCGGTTACGTTTAGGATGCAATGTAGTGTACAATTCCAAAAAGACACAAAGCAAACTCACTTTAACCGGACTAATAAATTTTCCTTATTTTTAAATAATGGAAACTCTTTATAAGCTTTAAGTGTATAGGCTCACAGTTTGTTGAGTTTTCGGTTCTGTTTGGCCACGGATGACACGGATCCGGCTCTTTTTATGACAAGGAAGCCCTCACATCACCGCCTGCTATATTCGGTTTCATTGCTTATTTTGACTCAAAGAAACCGCTTAGTGTCATGAAAAATGTATAACTCTGTTCAGGAAAAAATGAGAGGACTCATTGAGAATTCCCTCTTGTTCTGTTCTATCGCTTCATTCAAGAGTTCTTTGCTTTAATGTATTTCAATACGTTCTCACAAAAACGAGAATGATTAAGTCAATAGATCATCAGCTGCATTCCCTTAGTTTCTTTCAATTTATTCAATCTAGCTCGAGAAACGAATTTGTCATGCAGATATATCTAAACTTCCGTCAAGTTTCGAGGGAAAATCCTCACGAAGCCGTAACGAATGCAATTGTAACGTGTTAGTCGCTGAAAACTAATTACCTGTGTGTTTTGATAGCTTCAGGCGAGTGAGGTCGAGTCGAATCGAAGCGATGTCCAGAGCGCATATGTCGTCCTTCTCATCCTACCGCCGGTGTTTTGAAATATCTGCTGATGAAAATATGTTATTCCCGTGGCTTACGAAGCGGTAATAGCCACACAGACTTGACAATGAGCGGGGTTTTTGACGGTGCTTCGCGGGAAACTTGTCGGCTCTTTTGTAACATGGACAACGGATTGTGATATTATTATTTTAATCACAGATAAGTTCGGAGAATATTAGTTCGAGATGCGTTCGGTTATGATAAAGGAGACGCTTTGTTTCGCTCATGTAAGGGTACAAACGTTGTTTGAGAGAAAAGCGATGGTGTTCTTCATTGGGAACTATGATTAGCGGATAACTTCGAGCGACTTTATTTTCACTATTCTTAAAGAGAAGAAATGAAAAAGATTATAACGATGAACCCGAAATTTCCGTCAGAAATTGTAGTCAAATCGATTGCGGTCAATAATCGCAATTGGGAGAATACTGTAAATCGCAGCTCTTCAGGCTGCCTTGTCAAAATTTTTCTTTTTCTTCTGAATATTTCCGTCAGACGAGAACAAAGAACATTGTTTTTTTTCCTCTTGAGGGGTTTCAGTTTGCTAATTTGCTTCATTTCTACGTCCAACTGAATTTTATAATCAACCTTTGAACTTAGTAACATTGTTTTTATCAATAGAGACTTTCCAGCTTACGACTTGCCTAAGTTAACTTTTTTGAATAGCTCACCTTTTTCAAGACTGAGCCATAATTACTTCAAGCACTCGTATGTTACAAAAATGCCTAGGGCTTTGAAAAAACAGGTCATCGACTGAACCTAGAGCGTCCTCTTTCTATTTTTATCAAACGTTCATGACGTGTCTACAAACATGTCATTTGGTGACCCATTTTAGTCATGCTAGTAAAGCATACACGTCGATCGTGAAAGACATTCTAAAAATGTAGTTGTTCTACATAGCACCGTTATGTTAACTTTGTATAATATACCTTTTGTATTTCACAGCTTAGGACGAAGGCAAATATCTAAAGGTATTGATAAATCAAAGATATTTGGAAGTATATTTCTAGAACTAACCTCTCTGAAGAAACGATGTGTCAAACCTCTCTTACTGCAAACGGCAGCAACGATGAAAGCGAGCAAAATGATCCGAAAGAGTCAATTTAATCAAATGTATTTCGTGTGATAATTAGGGTCACTTTTCATGACTGTCATCAGTACTTCTTTTATTTTAATGTCACCAAGCTGACGAGAGAGCACTTTGTACGTTACTACATCACGTGATATCAAGTCCTTCCTTGTTCCTTGTACTTCTTACAGTTGAATTATTTCCTATTAGTATTTCAGTTTCTACATATGAGAAGCAAAATTAAGACCTCATGAGAGTAAATATTCAATTTTTCTGTGGCACCACTTCTTTTTTGAAGTGTCGCTTTCTTCTATTTGTTACGAGTTTTTAAAACTTTTCAGAAGTCAACCGAGTCCTCCTTGTCGAAATTGAAGGAAAACAGTCACACCCCCTCCTGCCTTTAATTATTTTTGCCATTGCACCCTGGTTCCCCGATAGAGCCCAATGCCCCATACCTCTGATGTATGTCATTTCCAGTCCTCCCTCAAACGTTAAAATTCAAAATGGCGGCAATACCAAGACTTCTCCTCAATAGGTTAAATGTAGGCACTTTGGCAGTTTGCTTAACTGGTGCACGAGTTTCAACTCGATTTTTGTCAAATGATCAACATAGACCCACAGAAACAAACACATCAACTGAGGAAGACACGATGTCTTCTGTGTCAACAGCAAGTAATTCTTTTGAGAGGTGAGGTGATTCGTATGAACTCAAATGCACTTTGTGGTGTACTGGTGGATCCCCTAAGTTGCTGATCAGAGTAAATTTAGGAAAGGGCTTTAAGAATAAAAAAGTGAGGAAAAAACACGATTTTCGAAATATTATCACGACGATGTCAAACTGTCGTATGATTTCGCTAACATCTTAACAAAGATACGCATTTCTGTACTTTGCACAGCTAACCCAAACTGCAGTATTGTGCTAATTTACTTGATATTATATGGAGATGTTTGAACGTTCGAATTACCTCCTTACCTTAGTTTTCAAGAAAATATTTGAAATACTCACGGTGTCTTCTTGTAATTCTTAGTTTGTAACCCCCTGAACGAATATAAGCGAATTGTGGTGAGTCATGACTATCTTTCAACACCATCAGGGAAAACTTAAAATTTCTCATGGGAATTATGAGAAAATTCGAGCGTTCAAATGTCGCTATATCATCTCAAGTAAATTGGCATTATTCAGTAGCTTTGATTACCTCTGACGTAGGATCCTTTGATAGGTTATACTCTAAATCATTGCAATAAATGGATTGTAATGAATTTTCAAAGCTGTTGACTTATTCAGGTTTAACTAGCGGAAGATAGGCATATTGAACTCTGGCTTTTGTTTCAGTCCACAATAGTTTGGGAAAGAAAGAAAAATAAGAACTTTTGGATTAATTTTTCTGGAATTATTTTCGAGAAAGGATGGTGGTAGTGTTAAAAATGGACATTTATGACTATCTACATTGTATATACCATGTATTTTAGCAGGACAGTGGTTACATTTTCCCCCAGAAACTTATACTCAATATTCTCTCACACTTAATGCCTTAATGATAAGATTCTTTATCTTCATTGCACAGTTTGTTTTGTGTTGGGGATTTTGATTGTGAGGAGTTGTACAAATGCTTGGGCTGAGGATCATGTAAGTCTGAGAACTTTAAAAAAAGAGAGAGGGTCATAGATTGGAGATGTTTGTGACACTTTCTCATAAAGCCATTTCTCAAGATTCATTCCTCTCTCAGAGAGGGAGACAGTTGCTGTGTGTAAAAGACACTGAGTGAAAAAATTATTCAAAGCTTGTTCAATTTGTGTTAGGTTATCAGATGCTTTCTCTGGTGCAGCAACAACACCTTTTAGCCAAGAAATCATTCAAGTTCTGATGTCACCTATCAATGAAACTGATGTTGAGATCAAACCAGATGGTATAGACAAAAACATTTCCTGTGAATATTTTTAATGGTAACAGGAGGCAGTGATGTCCAATTCAATCTATAATATTACAAATGATGAACACAATCAAATTTTCGTGAAGCAGGAGCTGGTTTTATGAAAAAAGTAAACAGTGCCAAGTTTTTTTACCAAGTACTCAAAACTATGAAAAATGACTTTTAAACACATTCATAAATAAAAAACAGTATAATTGACATTTTTCCACAAGAAAAGGAACCCTGTAGTCTATTTAATAGTGCATGCAAATGGCATATATCATCTAACAACAAAAACATGAGGCATTAAGAGTTCAAAACATTGTTCACTGATAAGCTAATGTGTACACTGCCAATTACTTGTGAGAATTTTGTTATGGTTTTGACGAATAGTTGTATATAAACCAGTGGCTAGTGTGTGCTCAACTTTGTTATGGTATTTGTTCCCAACATCTAACAAAGAAAAGCAAGATAGATATGTACCACTTAAGCTCATCTGGTGGTTCAGGCAATCTTCAAATTTAGTACCACCGGTTGGTTGTTATGTGTAATATCAATTCTTCCCTTTTTGAATTCAGTAACTTTTGGTTATGTACCAGCTGCATTTAAGTATATTAATTTTTTATTAAAGATTTAAAGTTATTGACAGGACCTTTCCTATGATTGTAATTTAAAAAGTTGTTAGTTTCTAGCTTTTTTGAAAATTTAATGGAGGCTCATTTGACTATATTGAATTGCTGAGTTTGTGTTTTCTGAGTATAGAAAGTATTTGCATGGTGATATAGCATGAGACATCTCACTATTTTTTATTCAAATATACTGTTTCCTTTTCACTATTTTATATATGTTGTTGAAAATTACTAGTACCAACTTTAACCTTAGCAAAAAGGTGTCTGATTGATGTGAATATTTCATTTAATTTTAAGTTTCTAATGCTATCTTTGTGCAGGATTGATTTATCTTCCTGAGATAAAATATAGAAGAATACTTAATCAAGCATTTGGTCCAGGTGGATGGGCACTGGTGCCACGAGGCGAGTCTCTTCAATTTCAGGTAGATACCTTCAAATGAAATAGAATGTTATTTTCAAGTTGTTGTTTTTACTTTGAAAGCCACTGGACTCAGAGACTCCTTGTATGAACATGTGATGGTCTTATTTTATTTGTCTTTAAACAAGAAAATCAGGTGTAAAAGTAGTCTGACCTGGCTATTCTCAATGAGATATCACAACATAAGTAGCCTTCAAGCACCCTAATTTTAATTTTATAAATCACATTATATTTACAGACAGAGTTAGTATCCTGTTGAAACTTAACTGAGAGGAATTTTTTCTCATTTATTCCAATTAATTCATTTCTTCACTCATTTGTTCATTCTTCATTTTGGTGCCATGTAAGTTTATGAGATACTTGACTTTGTGATATTCCATAACATTATAGGAATACAGCATTAATGTGGATGAATGATCTATTTTGTTAAAACTTCTTCTTATGAGATAACACTATTTTATATTTTAGAATGATAAAGACAACAGCCAGCTAATTGTGCGGGAGTATGCATTATTTTGTTTGGGAAGATTTGTTGCACAGACTGTTGGTGAACACACTTTTTATTCCTCTAATAACATGGTGTATGGAAAAGCTATGGAAGCTGCCAAGTCTAATGCATTGATGAGATGTTGTAAAGACCTTGGAGTTGCCAGTGAGCTCTGGGATCCACAGGTAGAATTTGCTAATTATTTAATATTTTTTTGTAATGATCTATTTTAAGGTAATTATCTTGCTATTGTTAACAAGAATCCTTTGTAAGATTAATTAAGATAGATCCTCTGGAATCCCAGCAGTTTTGATCTTCTTAATGAGAGGAAATTTTGTCCTTTATATCATAAACAAGTTATCACATGTTTCCTGTGTCATTTCTGTTTTTCAGACAGGTAAAGACACTTCCCTTGTCACTGGGCAAGTCAGGCAATTTCTCCAACATTTGAAACATGCATGATATTAATAAATCCTAAAGTTTACTTGGCCCTACATGATTACCTTTTCTAACTTGACCATTCAAGATACAAGTAAACATAAAAATGCCAATTAGCACAATAGAATGCAATTAAGGAAATTTCTTACTAGACTGTGGTTTGTGATAAGATCGAGATGAGGATCCTCTTTAGGATTTGTAACTGGTGTGTTCCACATCCTAAATTATTATTTCATACTCAATTTCATCAGAAATTATTTAATATTGGGTTATTTGACACTTCTGGAAAGACTGCCAATGCAAAATTGGTCTTACTCTACCTGGTGATATCATGCCAGCAAGGTCTTATGGGACATGTTATCCATAGCTGATAGAGGTCTTGTACTTTAGACCATAAATGAAACTTATGAGAACATGAGGAAATAATCTAGGAAATTATATAGGAAATGTGCTTTACAAAGGGATTGAAGTACTTCATTATGATGAATATTGACCAGGAATATTGCTGCTCAGAAGGCAGGGTTATTTCTCTTATATGATACATGAAAAAATGTGGTGGAAAAAGAGAAAAATATCTTTTACTATTGCTTTGATTGCTTGCCATTATTATTCATGTCACACTCTCTTTGTTATTTTTCTCTCAATCTAAAGCAGACATGTTTTGATGATTCAGAGTATGTGTTTTATTTCATTCAATCTCCTATAGTTCATCATTGATTGGAAGGACAAATATGCTCTGAACACATGGTGTGAAAATGTGCGAACAAGAGATAAAAAGAGGTTGTGGAGAAGAAAAGACAGAAAGTCAACACATGCTTTTCAATATCCATGGAAGGAAGTTGCTCAGCAGGAGAAATGATTTCAGTAAAGTAAACAGATATTTCCAACAAATCACTGTAGGCCAATTTCACAGGACAGTCAATGGTGTTTACACAACACCAACACTTACACAAACAGTTAATAACTCTGACAGTTTTATCCCAGGCTAAGAAAGGATTTCACATTGTCAAACAATGTTATTGGACCAGTAACATTTTTTACCTACTGTAAATAATGGTAATAGGACTGAGAGGAGTCTAATTTGGTTTGCTATCATATGAGTGCTTGACAAAATTGGACAACTGTGAAGCAGGAGTCTATTTGTTAATCATGAGTTGGATGACAGAATTGGACGACACAAAGTCCTGTTACCAGTTAATCAAAACTATGACAAAATCTGAGAAAGATTTTCATAAAAAACAACTGACAGTTAACTTGGCAAAATGTGTAACTACAGTCCACACACATGACACATACTGTCTATTTACACAGGTGTGATGTGTCCAATTACAAGCAAGACACATACACTGTCTTATTAGTGCTCAAATCAGGCTGGCCATAATCAATGGCATTCAAGAATTTTGTTATAGTTTTGATTAAAGTGCAGAACAGCTACCCACAAGTCATGATGGTCAACTGTTCAACAATAAACTACCAGCAGGTCAGCAAAATTGCCTTCTAACTACATTTGAGTAGTTTTTCTCAACTTTTTTCTGTCTTCAGATGGCAAAGTAAGGCATGTTATTGAAAAGTTAAAAATTCATAGACAGAATTCAGAGCCCAGATATTTCATGTCAAACGAGTTGATAACTTTAATACATAATGTCCATAGAGATGTACATGATGTATTACTGAAAGTACAAAGATGCAACAGCACCCAGTAGTTGTCAAGTGTGTAGTATAAGATGTTCAGTCAGGGAAGACATGACCTCTTTTGATGTTCTTATAGCCAGTTATTAATCTTATAAGGCAGGAATCTGAATGTACACATTCCATTTGCATTAAAAATCATAACAGCTGGTCCTGGAAAAGTGTTGTTTAATAAGTGTTACAATAACAAAAAAAATCGTTTTGCATTCTAAAATGACTCATCAGCTTTTGGTTTTCATATTCATGACATTTTCTTTCAACAGAGTTTTTTATTTATTGTGAAAGAGGACTTTTTTGTGTGATCTTTCCTAATATGGACAGCAAAGCAGCATAAAAAACGTTTTGAAACTTTTATAGTTCAGTAACCTTGAAGCACTGGAAATGCACACAAAGTTTCAGGCCTGGAGCATTTCAGCTTTGAGCTTCTATATCAAATTTTTCTAACTACTAATTTTTTCATGTATCTGACAGGTATTTCGATAATGAACAAACAGAGGAAGGAATCTAGGAAATTAGAAAAAGAATGGACAGGACAAAAATGGATTTCATCATAGAACCTAAAGCAGCTGAAATGGGTGGATTGAGGGTAAGGGTTACTGCAAAGGGTACAGCAAGCCTCAGGGAGATTTTATCAAAGTTGTATTATTAAGTACTAAAAGTTAGATGAATGAAGTTTCTTTGTGAACTTCTGATAGGCATTCCGATTTTCATGGTGACCTCAATATCTAAACTTTGAATATTGAATAATATCTTTGAAAAGCACTGAATTTTTTAAACTGAAAAATTAGGCAGTGAGTATTTCTTAATAGATTATATGAAGAATACGACTTGTGCTCTAGAAAAATTTATCTTGGGGTTGGGATATTAATAGAGGTGTTATTGTGAAATGAATGCAGACTGAGATAACATAACTTAGCTGCGCAACAAGATATCATTCTTTACACTATGACTCACTTAGAAATCAGAAAAATCCAAATCATTTTGATTAGCAAACAGCATTTATTGAAAGAAAAGTCACACAATCAAGTCAATAAAAGCATTACATTCTTGCACGATTTAAACAGTGCATTATTGTCTAAGCTTATAAGGTAATAAAGAGTGAATAACAACACCAACATTGGTAAAAAAAAACAATGTTTGTTGAAAAATGAGTTTCTACCATCTTAAAAAATATATATATTTTTTAAAATTTAGAATTTTTCTCCACTCAAATTACAAAGAGCTAGCTATTCTCTTGGTTTTGGTCTCAAAATTAATATTCAAAAAAAGGTTTTTTTGCTTTACAGTTGGGGTATTTAAAGACCACCAGAAATTTCAACTCTGTACACTTCTCAGTGACACAAGTTTACATGGTAGTCCATGTCTTGCTTCTTTTGATTCTTTTCCCTCATTTTGCAAAGTGTAGTCATTGTGCATTGAATTAATCTGCGGTAAAGTAAAATCACACCTTGTGTTTAATGATTCCCTTTAAGTTGATCAAGGATCAAGATTGGTGGTGGAATCAGTATTATCTTAAAGGAGAAACATGTAGTCACTCTTAAGAATGGGCCAAAACATTTACATAGTTACTTTCTGATCATTCCTTGAAAACAAAGCACAAATGCTAGAAAAGCAAACCTCTTCAAAATCAGGGGAGTCCTTAGGCATGAATGGTCAATCCTGGGGAGTATCACTCTCTTTGCACCACAATATCAGACAATAACTTCAAAGCTTATAACTACATGTAACAGCTGCTAGGCTTGTGAAGATAAAGTAAAGCCTAAACTGTATAAAAATGGGCCCTGTAATTGTCAACTCATATGTTTACATTTTGATGTGTTTCTGGATCAGAGTCTGGCACAAAGTTGCCTTAAACAATCAATCCATACCTATCATTTATTTTAGGTTCAGAACTTGGAAGTGCACAAACAATGACCAAATTGAACACTAGTACCATTTAGCAATTTTCTATAAAGTTTTTAGATTTCTCCCCCACAGCTTTGGTTTTGCTGTGATAAATCTGGTTTTTTTTTCAATTGAAAGCAAATCATACCACCAACGGAGAAAAAATGCTGTTAAAGGTAAAAATTAATCTTCAAGAATAGTAGTTATGTTTAATATCTTGTTGTTTTCAGTTACTCAGGTTACATGGAAATTTTGATTGCACTTTTCATCAGCCTGGGTAGCCTTTTTGTGTTATATTAGACAACACCAAAGTGAAAATTTCTGTAAGCAGTCATCAATAATTAGAATTAGAAAAATTAATAACTTTATTTATACTATGATGTACCAGGATTTCAGCTGCAATTAATACTTGAATTATTGCACACAGTTTTCTGCACAGGTCTGCCAATCTGAAATGAAAACATAATCTGTTATGAAACATGTTATGTTTACAGTGCCAACTGAAACATTAAAAAATAAGACAATTATCAATCAGTCTATTTGATGTAAACTCTTCAATATCTTTCCCTGATTTAATTTATTGATAGAAATGAATTATTGTAGTTCATTACCTGCATGAAACAGTGAAGATAGGAAATAGATAAATTAGGTTAGATAAAAGCTGCCGCTGACTAATACTACATATAATAATCAAGTTCAAGCTCCTATTTGCAGGTTTCTTTAACTATACCGTACGTACCCTAGTCGCCAAAAAAAAGTAATATTCCATGTTAAAATAAGCAATTACTATATCCCAAAGCTAAACTTGGATCACTCAGTTTTCAATAAGCCATTTCAAAGATAACTCAGAGACACTGAACCCCTTTCTCCCCTTCTACCCCAAAAATGCAACAGTAGAACGTTTTTCCCTCAAGAAACGTTTTTGTTTTAAAACTTAGTCATCGTTGACTTAGAGGATGCTGATAAGTTATTACATGAATGTTACAAAACCACTTGCAATTCCATTCCATTGACAACCTAACTAAACAAAACCTGTATTAAGTATGACTTTACCTTAAAAGCAATCCGCGCTTAGTTCCTCATCTGCCTCTTTGACGGCTTTTGCAACAGAGTCGTTTATTTCTTTTATTCTGGCTGGATCTTCTGGTGGGAGAACTTTCTCCATCTCCTCTTCAAACTGCTTGATCCTTTCTCCTACCTTCTCATGGAAAGTATTCTGGGCCTCTGATACCAACTGCATAATCGCTCTTTCAGCCTCTTGACTTCCTTCCAGGAGCTCTATCCTCTTTGCCTCAATGGTTGCCCTGTCTTTTTCTGGGTCCAAGGCGATCAAATGACCAAGGCTGGCCAATCGGCTCATCAAGTGATTACGTGACACCTCTACATAGGTGTTTGAAATGGACCAAACAACATAAGAGGTCTTATTAGCTTGACTGACTTGTTCGTAGATGAGGTCACGCATGAAATCCGTGTCAGTGTAGCCCTTAGTCAGCCTTCTTTCTTGGGCGACTTTGGAATATTCAACAAAACTTGTTAGGCTCTCCTTTTGACACACCTTGATGATGTTGGTAATACACTGGAAGAACTCCACCAGTTTCTGCCACCTTTCGCGTACTGAAGCAAGAGCCTTGATGCCTTTTTTCAATGTCTCTCTTATCTGGTCAAAGTTAGCAATCTTCTCTGGGCTGAATTCCACAAGGCTTTGAAGAACTTTACTTAGCTCCTTGTTGCTCTCCTTCAGCTGCTTGTTTCCTTCGTCATATAGCATCTCTTGTTTTTCTAGCAAGCCTCTCGTTTCAGCAATTTTAAACCGTGCACTTTCAACTGCCATGTTAGCAGCACTTGATGATGCAGACTTTGCAGGGTCAGCCATGTTTCTTGCTTGTCTTGGTGGCTTGGTGTAGAGAGGATTGGTCTGCACTTTTGTCTGAACTTTAGTGCAGAACTTGAAGATGTCATCTTTTAGTTTCGATGCTCTTTTAGCAATTTTCTTCATCTTATCATTAGACAAATTGAGGTCTTCCAACTCTTTTTCCGCTTCCATGCATATCTCCAAACCCCTTGACAGCAGTTTTAAGCCTTCCTGGTCGTCTTTACTTTCTTGCTCGGTGGACCAATCTTTTTGCAAGCTTTCCATTTCAAGTCTTGTCTTTTTAATGTCTTTGGCTGGCTCGCCTCCATTACTTTTGTCTTGAAATGTCGCAAGAACTTCCACCAACTTGGCTGAAAAAACTTTCATCAGTTCTGCTTTGACTAATGCTTGCGTTGGTAATTTCGAAACTCTTTTTGCGCTCTGTTTTTCACTAGGATCCACCCTCAGATTTGGGTCTGCATGTGATGGGGCAGACGACGAGTTCATCCCTCTCGTAGCTACTGCAGAAATCACTGTCTCAGCAGCACTTGTAAAAGCTTTTGTGATTCCCTCGACAAATTGCATACCAACAAGGTCCCATCCACTCGGCATGGAATCTACAGCCTTTTCCCACTGTGCTTTTGCCTCTTTGACTTGTTTGGTTAGCTTATCTTGTTCTTCTTTTGCCCTTTCTATTTCTTCTCGGACCGATTTTTCTTTGGTTAAGGCAATTTCTCTTTTCGTTTGCAGTTCTACTTGGGTGTTTTGAAAATGTCCCTTGGCAGCTGAAGAAACCTCCAGTAGCTCACCAGTCAGATGCATCACATTCTCGAACTTGCTCTCAACTGCTTTTGCTAATTCCAAGGATTCTGAAGCATTCTTCTCAATTTTCCTTAGTTCGATGGGAAGGATGTCTTTCACATCCTCCTTGCTTCCAGAGACAAGAGTGCGAACAACTTTCTTCACTTGCCCAGGTACTTTTGCAGAATAGAGCCGGATGGTATCCATATTCTTATAAAGTTTCAAAAAGAACATGCATATTAAATTTACATACTGAAATCAAACGATGATATCAGCAAAATGTTCCATATCAAGCCCATTGTGTACACACTTTTATCCGAGTCCATAAACTCTTTACAACTGCGATTAAAAAAGTTGTAACATTCAACTCTGATATTATGTCTGTTTCTGATTGTTTAGACTTTGAGAGTTACTAAGAGCACTTTTGAATTTAGTAATAACCCCCAGCAATTACTGGTCTTTTCACTATTTTGAAATTGATTGACTAATAAATATCAAGTTGAGCTGTAAAAGACTACAATACATATTTTTGGAACTTCTGACAGGTGTAGGGGTCGAGAAAATTGGAATTTTTTTCTAAGAATTCCCTTAATATTACAAATACCAACACCGAAATGTTTGATCTCATTCTCATTAAAATTTGCTCTGATACATCATATTCAAAAGGGACATGGTGGTTTCGATGTGAATGCCGCCACGGAAATTGAGTAAGGTATAAATTCTTCTTGAATTACAGGAAGGCACTATACACTTTGAAAAAAGGAAGAGAACTAACACTTCTCTTTCGAATTGACTGAATTAAGAGTGACTGACTTATTGCATATCAAAAAACTTTTTTTTTAGTCAGAAATGTGAGGTTTTCTTTGGAGGCTGATTTATTGCAATGTGTTTTGGATTAGTTGTGATTAACTGTTATCTGAATATACGAGCATGTTTTTTAAATTTTCTTGCGCAGAGATGGTATCTAAATGACATTTGAATATGAAATTTGGTTTCTGCAATGTCCTTTCGCTTACTAAGAGAAAAAAGGACGCAAAATCTCTTGGGACACCAAAGGTTCTTTGGGAAACCTGGCGTTGTCTGCATTTTTATTATGAAAGTCAAGTAGTTTTCGTTTGTTTTTTATAAAGATATGAACATTTGCAACGTGATATTTTTTGTCACGCCGGAACATATTCTTGTTTTTGAAAGAGATCTAAAGATCATCGATGCAGATCTTCTGATAATATTATTTTATCTCTATCGACTTTGTTTAAGGTCATATATTTTGGTTACAACACATAGAGGTTCGATTGTATTTGCTTTCTTGCGTATACATATACCTATTCAAGGACTTATCAAAGCCTAGGGCCCTCAGAAAGAAAAATCTAAGTAACAATTGAGTCACGACCTTTAGTTAACCAAATTGGGATGATGTTGGGAACCAAGAATGATACCTTATGGGCCTCATTGAAAGCTCGCCATCCAGCGTTGCTCACTTGCACCAGACATGCTCTAAATGATCTTGGATGCTGGATGAACTGGAAACCGTCCTTCGGCTTTTGACTTTCCAGTGAGAAATCCTTTTCTCCAGCTATCAGCATCAGTTGCCCCAGAAGTGCGATGGACATGGGTGCTGGTGTAAGGAATTCTGCCCAGTTCATGCTAGGAGACATCATTAACAAAGCTGTTTCATTCTTGTCTTCTCCTGAGTTGGCCCTGATCATGGCCTTGTTGACATCCTCTATCACAGTGGCACTAGGCTCAGCCATGATCTGTTCATGAAGACACCAGAAACATTAGACAAGAAGCGCTTAGAAAGAACTGAGGGAAATCACTAAAGAATTTGAGTAAATGGTAAAAAATGGGAATTTAGCAATGGACAATCCACGAGATGGCTCTTCTTGTCCGCCGTTTCCACGTTGGCATGAAATTTGAAAATCTTAGTTTTTGCGGAGGGAGGAAAACCGAAGGACCCGGAGAAAAACCCTCGGCGAACTCAACTCATATATGATGCCATGTCGGAAAGGGTTGAGTAACTGGAGAGCACCACCACCACAACTTTTATATGAGACACTAACCACAAGATCTTTCGATTTTGCCTGTATATTAAACAATTAGTCCAAGGGGCAACGGATATTTAATGGTAAGTAGCCAAGGATGTGCCTTGCATTGGTATCTGACTTCTCTTGGCCAACACGCAAGCATTAAATCGTTGTTGAATACATCAGACTTCTGGATTAACTTCACGCGAACGTAAGCTCATAAAAAAAAGTCTACAGAGGCAAAATGTACTGAAAATAAAACTCATTTTGGCCCGAGATCAGAACAGATTTTGACCACAGTGATCCAAAATAAGTTATGGTTTCGGTTCTAGGGAACCACGAGGGTGCATAGACGTGTTAATGTTTTCAGCTCAAAGCGAGTAACAGAGAAAGGGAAATAACGAAACTGTATCATTCGAACAAAATTTTTTTGGAGAATTTCAACAATATTTGACTTTGGTTCTGATGAGAAGTTAAAATATGCTACAACAAAGCGCAATGGATTTGCCAAGCGACCACAACTAGAAACGGCTGTGGATAATAAAACATTTGGGTCTGAAATAAGGTCAGGATTTGGAGAATCAGGAAGCATATCCATACCCAAGATTACAAGGAGTATCACCTTCCCGGGAATGACTGTTGTTACAAAGATATTAACTTGGTTTGTCTTGAATAACGAGACTGTTAAATTGTTCTACATATTCAAGAGGACATATTTCATTTTCTCTTGCCATCTTGATCTGAACTTGACATTAAGAAACATTTCCTACGTACATTTAAAGCAAATGAAAATGTTTACTTAGGCGAATCAAGACCAATCAACGGCGGAACTGACCCATGTAGGAGAAATTTCCTTGAACCCTATGTAAATTTATGTAAAAAAACAGCCTTACAATACATTCTATGTTTGACAAACTTGAACAATAGATGAAGCAAAACTACCTGCCATGATAAATGGATCTAAACAAAAATGTATAACAAATATTTCTCGAGGCAACTAAATTGCAGGTCGCCTCCTGCTCTGTCTTCTGCGAAAATGCAATTTCCTGCTGAAGCCGGTCGTTTAAATGCTCTGTTTTTAACAAGGTTTCTAACACTTTACTGCACCAGCCAATCCCAGTTAAGTAAGAAAAACAATTCTAAGAGAAAAAGCCTTGCCGTCGGGAATATGACAATCCATTCTACAATTGATCTTAATGTTATGAAGTATTTAGTTATTTTATTATAAGTAAGTCAGTTGGTTAGTCAGTTTTTCCTTTTTATTTAGACAGTATCTAATGCATGAGTTCGAATTCCGGAGTTACTTGGGTTTGAGCTGTCGTGATGAGTTTCTGAATCGTGACAGTCTTTTCTAACTTCCTTAAGTGGACGAGTTAAGTTTGTTTACTGACCTTGCTTTGGACCCACACGAAAGTTCTTGTCAAAATTGAGTCAATTGATCGGAAGCATTATTATTAAGTACTTTGAAAATCAGATCTAAAGTCTCGTGAAATTGTTTGCTTTAGCGTTGTAACAACAAATGTTTGATCTCCCAACGTCAACCAGCTAGCAAGCCCACCCGTACCCGTCAGTAATGAATATATAGGTATGTTCTTTAGAGTTTATTTGGAAGAGAGTGGAGAGAAAAGAGAATAGAGAGATAAGGGAAGAGGGAAGAGGGAAAGGAAGACAAGAAGAATGTAGACAGTGTGCAGTAGAGTAGAGTCAGAATTCCGCGGTTGAAGAAGAAGTATCCAGTGAGAATCAAAGTGTGTGAGCCTATGAGATTACCTATGAGTTTCACAGAATGAAATAAGCTTAGATATAAGTCAAATTGTGTACCAGAGAACCGAGTAATTAAAGAAAGCAGAAATAGACAATTCGAGAGTCTTGGTGCCTTTTCGCGGGCGTGGTTGAATGCAATGTTGCGTTACGTTTGTCCGTCTTTGAAAACAGTTCCTGTCTTAACAAGTGAGGACTCGAGTTTGTAATGTTGTGAATTCAAATAAGTTATAAATTGTATAATAGATTAGTGGTGAGAGATACGAACTGTGTACTACTAGAAGTATGAAAATTACTATGATCAGTCGAGGCCAATCTGTTCCAGAACAGAAAAGATCCTAACTTTCGCTATGTGACTTGTAAACGATATGTTTCCGTTGAATGCAGTAGAGAATAATTAGAACATGTAATATGGAGTTCAGAGATATTTTTTTTCGTTTGCACTCATCGTCATTCAGAAATAAACTACCTGGAGTAAAAATTTTTAATCTATCACTTAACTATTTCATTTAGAACTATATCTCTTAAAATCTTTTGTTGAAGAGGTTTAGTGCTCAAGTCAACAAATGGTGTAATTTTAAACATAAACATATTCCAGTAGATATTGGATCCCTAGAAAAACAATAATACTCACTTTCGATGTTAATTCTGCAAATAGCCTGATAAATGCATATTTATGGCGGAGTAAACCAACGCTTGACACAAAATTCAACAAAGATTCTCTTATATTGTTGCACTGGCCTGAAAGAAAGTGCTGAAAGGGGGGTGCTCTATGCACCCAAGCATCCCGGTTGTTTACAGGTAGTAAAGTTGCGGCATTTAAGAACTCTCGCTCAACTTAAAAACGTCTTGTCAGAGTACCCCTCACTGAGATGATTACCCAAGAGAGTGGGTAAGAAATACCAAAAGAACGAAAGCTTGTCTAGGATTCTGCTTTTGAAACTGCGAAATAGTACAATACAATTAGTTAGAAAACACACTAACCGGCCAAGAGCCCGTCATCTTGTGATGTCAGTATCTGCCATCTAACTACCACAGAAATAATTCCTTCTCGTGCTTCGAAGGCACAGAAGCAAAGGTAAACCTTACTTTGCTGATAAAACGGTCGTCGAAATCTCTCTCGAAAACAAGGTCCTTGCCGTGCGGCTCACCGGCCTCCATGCTTACTCAGAGTCAAAAGTCTGATCAGAGTGAAATATTAGTTAGCTGGGACAATTTAACTTTGCTATTATCGTGGTAAAACAGATAGTCGCTCTTCGTGTCACAAACCAATAAATCTGTAGATCACGGACAGAACATCCCGGGTGCAACAACTGTTACTTTATAGTCACGTTATGCAGTATAAACACGCTATCGTCAAATGTCATGATACTTTAGGGCTTAGCTAAGCCGTTCTTGTCTCTGAATTATTCTGCAATAGTGAAAATTGTCATTCATGCTATGATTGCGTAGTCATTTCCAAAGAGAAATTGTGCGAAAGAGTCCTAAATTTACGTAGCACTCCTAAAGCGCAAGCCGCGCGGATCCTCGCGCATGGTTACATTTTAATCGTCAACTTCAATTAATTTCATGTTCGAAGCCAAACACCTCTCTTTCACTTACTAATTGAGTACACTCGCTTTACAGTGACAAGCCTATGGATCATTTTACGCTTCCCTGGTGAGAATTTTTTTCTTGAGCAAAGCTCGTCACGAACGTGTATAATCCCAATTTGCCCACATTGAAACTACAAAGCACATTCACTGACAAATGTCCCACATTCAATGATTACAAATGTTTGCATTTATGAAGGATGTTAACATGGTTTTGTCATGAATTACGAGATTGGCTGTCATATTGAAAAGAAGATGACTGGTGATATAGAGTCTGAAGGTTACGCAGTCCTCGAGAACTTTAAGGAAATCGCTCTTTTTAACACACTGAGATTTCTGAAATGATGATCTGATAAACTGACTAACTCACTAGCCCCGTCAAGTCATTTCAACATTAAGTGTTCTGCATTGTGAAGCGAATGAAGCAAATTTTTTCTTGCTATCTTTCATCTCAACTTGACCCAAAAAAACAGAAACATTTCCTTCGTATATTAAAAGTGAAACTGTGAAAATGTTCCCTTGAGCGAATCAAGACCAATCAACAGCGAAACTGACGCAGGTAGGAGAAATGTCCATGAACTCTTACTGTGGTATTTTATGTCAAAATCAGCCTTACGATAAATCAGTTCTACGTTTGATAAACTTGAATAATAGATGAAATTAAACTACCTCCCATAAAAGAATAAACTGATCACAAACCTGTAGCAAATATTTCTCAAAGAAGCTAAATTATAGGTCGTCTTCTGCTCTCTCTTCTGAGAAAATGCAATATCTTGCTAAAACTGGGCCGTATAAATGCTGTGTTTTTCAAAGAAGGTTTGTAACACCTCACTGCATCAGCCAATCCCAGATGAGATGAAGCAGAAAAAAACAATTCTTAGAAAAAATGGAAGTCTTAAATTTTAACAGCGTCCTGTTTAGGAGATAATCTCCAGAGCGATTTGTGTAACAAAAATTCCTTGTTCCGTAAGAGCTGTTGTGTGGACATTACAAACTCAAGTCCTCACTTGTTAAGACAGGAACCGGACAAACGTTGAAACCTTTTAAAGCATTTTCTAGAAATCTTTTTTTGTTCTGTGACGCTAAATTATAGGTCGTCATAACAAAAATTCCTTGATACACAAATCGCTTTAGAGATTTCAAGGATTTCTTTGCTCCAGCTTCACAGAACAAAAAGATTTCTAAAAACATCGCTTTAAAGATTTCAAGGAAATGTCAGGGTACTCTTTTTTTATATATAAACACGACGATCCAATATCTTTGTTTGCATTCAATTCCGGTATCCACACAACAGCTCTTACGGAACAAGGAATTTTTGTTACACAAATCGCTCTGGAGATTATCTCCTAAACAGGACGCTGTTAAAATTTAAGACTTCCATTTTTTCTAAGAATTGTTTTTTTCTGCTTCATCTCATCTGGGATTGGCTGATGCAGTGAGGTGTTACAAACCTTCTTTGAAAAACACAGCATTTATACGGCCCAGTTTTAGCAAGATATTGCATTTTCTCAGAAGAGAGAGCAGAAGACGACCTATAATTTAGCTTCTTTGAGAAATATTTGCTACAGGTTTGTGATCAGTTTATTCTTTTATGGGAGGTAGTTTAATTTCATCTATTATTCAAGTTTATCAAACGTAGAACTGATTTATCGTAAGGCTGATTTTGACATAAAATACCACAGTAAGAGTTCATGGACATTTCTCCTACCTGCGTCAGTTTCGCTGTTGATTGGTCTTGATTCGCTCAAGGGAACATTTTCACAGTTTCACTTTTAATATACGAAGGAAATGTTTCTGTTTTTTTGGGTCAAGTTGAGATGAAAGATAGCAAGAAAAAATTTGCTTCATTCGCTTCACAATGCAGAACACTTAATGTTGAAATGACTTGACGGGGCTAGTGAGTTAGTCAGTTTATCAGATCATCATTTCAGAAATCTCAGTGTGTTAAAAAGAGCGATTTCCTTAAAGTTCTCGAGGACTGCGTAACCTTCAGACTCTATATCACCAGTCATCTTCTTTTCAATATGACAGCCAATCTCGTAATTCATGACAAAACCATGTTAACATCCTTCATAAATGCAAACATTTGTAATCATTGAATGTGGGACATTTGTCAGTGAATGTGCTTTGTAGTTTCAATGTGGGCAAATTGGGATTATACACGTTCGTGACGAGCTTTGCTCAAGAAAAAAAATTCTCACCAGGGAAGCGTAAAATGATCCATAGGCTTGTCACTGTAAAGCGAGTGTACTCAATTAGTAAGTGAAAGAGAGGTGTTTGGCTTCGAACATGAAATTAATTGAAGTTGACGATTAAAATGTAACCATGCGCGAGGATCCGCGCGGCTTGCGCTTTAGGAGTGCTACGTAAATTTAGGACTCTTTCGCACAATTTCTCTTTGGAAATGACTACGCAATCATAGCATGAATGACAATTTTCACTATTGCAGAATAATTCAGAGACAAGAACGGCTTAGCTAAGCCCTAAAGTATCATGACATTTGACGATAGCGTGTTTATACTGCATAACGTGACTATAAAGTAACAGTTGTTGCACCCGGGATGTTCTGTCCGTGATCTACAGATTTATTGGTTTGTGACACGAAGAGCGACTATCTGTTTTACCACGATAATAGCAAAGTTAAATTGTCCCAGCTAACTAATATTTCACTCTGATCAGACTTTTGACTCTGAGTAAGCATGGAGGCCGGTGAGCCGCACGGCAAGGACCTTGTTTTCGAGAGAGATTTCGACGACCGTTTTATCAGCAAAGTAAGGTTTACCTTTGCTTCTGTGCCTTCGAAGCACGAGAAGGAATTATTTCTGTGGTAGTTAGATGGCAGATACTGACATCACAAGATGACGGGCTCTTGGCCGGTTAGTGTGTTTTCTAACTAATTGTATTGTACTATTTCGCAGTTTCAAAAGCAGAATCCTAGACAAGCTTTCGTTCTTTTGGTATTTCTTACCCACTCTCTTGGGTAATCATCTCAGTGAGGGGTACTCTGACAAGACGTTTTTAAGTTGAGCGAGAGTTCTTAAATGCCGCAACTTTACTACCTGTAAACAACCGGGATGCTTGGGTGCATAGAGCACCCCCTTTCAGCACTTTCTTTCAGGCCAGTGCAACAATATAAGAGAATCTTTGTTGAATTTTGTGTCAAGCGTTGGTTTACTCCGCCATAAATATGCATTTATCAGGCTATTTGCAGAATTAACATCGAAAGTGAGTATTATTGTTTTTCTAGGGATCCAATATCTACTGGAATATGTTTGTGTTTAAAATTACACCATTTGTTGACTTGAGCACTAAACCTCTTCAACAAAAGATTTTAAGAGATATAGTTCTAAATGAAATAGTTAAGTGATAGATTAAAAATTTTTACTCCAGGTAGTTTATTTCTGAATGACGATGAGTGCAAACGAAAAAAAATATCTCTGAACTCCATATTACATGTTCTAATTATTCTCTACTGCATTCAACGGAAACATATCGTTTACAAGTCACATAGCGAAAGTTAGGATCTTTTCTGTTCTGGAACAGATTGGCCTCGACTGATCATAGTAATTTTCATACTTCTAGTAGTACACAGTTCGTATCTCTCACCACTAATCTATTATACAATTTATAACTTATTTGAATTCACAACATTACAAACTCGAGTCCTCACTTGTTAAGACAGGAACTGTTTCCAAAGACGGACAAACGTAACGCAACACTACATTCAATTCCGGTATCCACACACCAGCTTTTACGGAACAAAGCATTTTCTACAAACATCGCTTCAGAGATCTCAAGAATTTCTTTGTTCCAGCTTCATAGAGCAAAAAAATTTCTAGAAACATCGCTTTAGAGATTTCAAGGAAATGTCAGGGTACTTTTTCTATATCTAAACAAGATGATCCAATAATATCTCTTTAACAGAAGTTCCATATTGAAGGGCACATTTCAAAATATCTAGCATTTTTTCAATAATGTTTATAGGAGTGGTTTACTTTTTCCTTCTTCACACTGTTTATTACCATTTTTCATGCAGCACTTAACCTTTAAGACAGGAAGTTTTCAAAAACGGACAAACGTAACGCAACATTGCATTCAATTCCGACCAGCTTTTACATAACAAAGCATTTTCTACAAACATCGCTTAGGATATTTCAAGAAAATGTGTGGTGACTATTTCTATATCTGAACACGACACTCCAATATCTCTTTAACAGGATGTTTCATAGCATGAGCTGCCTTTGATTGAAGAGCAAGTTTTAAAATATCTGGCATTTTCTAAAAATTACAGTGAGAGTGGTTTCCTTTTTCCTCTTCACACTGTTCATTACCATATTTCATGCAGTACTCAACCTTTAGGAAGTTTTATTAGCTAGCGGACTTTGACCACTGTGTTAATGTTACGACTAGTAAATCCACTGAGAATGTTACACTATTAATGGTCGGGTGGGGGACCAATTATTGAGTTCAACACGCCCGGGAAAAGGCACCAAGACTCTCGAATTGTCTATTTCTGCTTTCTTTAATTACTCGGTGCTCCAGTACACAATTTGACTTATATCTAAGCTTATTTCATTCTGTGAAACTCATAGTTAGTCTCATAGGCTCACACACTTTGATTCTCACTGGATACTTCTTCTTCAACTGCGGAATTCTGACTCTACTCTACTGCACACTGTCTACATTCTTCTTGTCTTCCTTTCCCTCTTCCCTTTTCTCTTTATTCTCTTTTCTCTTTTCTCTCCACTCTCTTCCAAATAAACTCTAAAGAACATACCTATATATTCATTACTGACGGGTACGTGTGGGCTTGCTAGCTGGTTGACCTTGGGAGATCAAACATTTGTTGTTACAACGCTAAAGCAAACAATTTCACGAGACTTTAGATCTGATTTTCAAAGTACTTAATAATAATGCTTCCGATCAATTGACTCAATTTTGACAAGAACTTTCGTGTGGGTCCAAAGCAAGGTCGTAAACAAACTTAACTCGTCCACTTGAGGAAGTTAGAAAAGACTGTCACAATTCAGAAACTCATCACGACAGCTCAAACCCAAGTAACTCCGGAATTCGAATTCATGCATTAAATACTTTCTAAAAAAAGAGAAAAATTTAATTATACCGAACTGACTAACCAACTGACTTACTTATAATAAAATAACTAAATGCTTCATAACATTAAGATCAATTGAATGTAGATATCATCATCATATTCCCGACGGCAAGGCTTTTTTTCTTAGAATTTTTTTTCTTATTTAACTGGGATTGGCTGATGCAGCAAGGTGTTACAAACCTTGTTAAAAACAGCATTTAAACGGCCGACTTCAGCAGGAAATTGCATTTTCGCAGAAGAAAGAATAGGGCCCATTTTAATAAAGGGCGGATAATGCTATCCAACGGATAAATCGCTATCCAGCGGATAAGTGATGGCAAAACGATAGTGTTATCCACCGGATAGAGATTTGTCTTGTGGATAGCGTTATCCGACGTTCGAACAACCGGGGCCAAGAGGAGAAAAAGACGACTTACAATTTAGTTGCCTCAAGAAATATTTGTTATAGGGTTTTGGTTATTTTCATGTATCACGGGAGGTAGTTTTACTTCATCTATTGTTCAAGTTTGTCAAACATAGAATGTATTGTAAGGCTGGTTTTTTACATAAATTTACATAGGGGTTTGAGGAAATTTCTCCCACATGTGTCAGTTCCGCCGTTGATTGGTCTTGATTCGCCTAAGTGAACATTTTCATTTGCTTCAAATGTACGTAGGAGATGTTTCTTCACGTCAAGTTCAGATCAAGATGGCAAGAGAAAATGAAATATGTCCTCTTGAATATGTAGAACTTCTATGTCAATCAGTTTATCACTGACTTCGTCACTTCAGAAGTCTCAGTGTGTTAAAAAAGCAATTTCCTTAAGGTTATCATAGCCATAGTGTTTGAACAAGAAATGTGATTATTTGTCTTGAATAATTCCTTTGATGATAATCCTGGTGGCAACTGGCCTGCAAACTATGGGTTGAGAATTCAAAGAAATTTGGTGTTCATTTTTCTCCGTAGGTCATTGAAGTAAGCTAACTATGGACTAATCCTTCGTTATCCTCTTTAAAGAAAACGACAATGGCCCACCGGCATAAACTGATTTCTGTACATAATAGTACCCGGGGCAGGTGGTACTGTGACTTTTGTAAAAGATATAGTGAAAACCTAAATGAAGAGTTTTCTTATCGTTGCCATAGCTGCAACTTTGACTTATGTCTTCACTGCATTCACCCACGCCAACATCCTAGCCATGAACATCAACTTCAAGTGATAGATGTCTCCTCTACTTGCAACAGCTGGTCTTGTGACATCTGCAAATATGACAAAACCGAAGAAAAGTAAGTTTGCGGTCAGTTGTATATGTACTCGCTCACGACAAGTTATTTGCATGGGTATTCAAAGTTATAACCCATCCACTAATCTTCGCGCGATTGTATTGGCTAATGTTCGTCGAGTGGTGCAAAATCACTGGACAGTTATCACAAAATAACCCTTGTTTCTGAAGATACTTGTCCTCCGATTATTTCCGTCGAAAAGAACAAAGCCAGCACAAAAAAGCCAGTTCAAGAGTTTTGCTTTTTCATCTTTATTACTTTACATGGAAGAAAAGTGATGCAGAGGCCAGTGGTAATGACATAAAATAGCTGATCTCAAATGCTGTTGCGGAAAGTAAACAAAAGTCAACAAAATTTCCATTCAACGGACCGAGATATGAGATTTAATGGGAGGGTAATAATTAGTACCTCTTCTGGCTTGCTGGTATGTCGGCTGATAATGTACCTTGGCAGAGAGACTGTCCGAAAAATGAATATTTGGTCGAAAGCGAAACGTAGAGGGCAGCCGCGGAGATTATCAGCCGACATACCAGCCGCTTGAAGGGGTTGATTTACCAAGTACTGCTAACTAAATCCAATGATTACGCTAACCTTGAAATAGTGTTTAGGTAATGTTCTGAATTCCTTCTTTGACTGAACTAAAAATCTTCAAGAGTTGAATTTAAATAAAAATTAAAAATTAAAAAAAAAAACAGTAGGTAAAATTTGAACATCGGAAACTTAGATCAACTGTGAAATTGACCTGGAAGCCTTTGCATATGGGATAAATATGATGCTACTAGTTAAAAGGAACGGGAGAGGAGTTTGTGAAAAAAATTGTGAATTGAAGAAAAATCGCAGGGTTGGGTCTTTACATTTTCCTGGTTTTGCTTCAGGTGTTTCGAAAGGATAAACTTCGTTCACGTTGAAGGTTTGGTTGATTCTCACTTTACAGGCTATCCCGTCGTTGTGGAGAGTGCAATTTTGATATTTGCCGTGACTGTTTCAAGCATTACCTCACCAGCCTGCACGAGCATGCATTGTTCAGAGCATGCGCACTGGATGTCTACCCAAAGTCCAGAGGTTGCTGGGGATGTGATAACTGCCGATCTTTGTTTAGGAACCCAAATGAAAACTGGCCGTGGCATTGCCACAAATGTGAATACGATCTCTGTGACCAATGCATTGGTGCCAATCCCGGGAAAAAAACAGGTGATAAGCGAGATACCTTGTGAAACCCCGTTAGTAGAAATGTCATTTAATTTCTTATCTTCTCCTTAGACGACAAATGTCCAAACTGCTCTTTAGGTTCAGTGCATAGTGAGATATAGAAAAATTAAGGTCGTTATGTGATCATCTGTTGTGGGACTAAAGTGCTAAACTTCTGCTGTGTGACAGGAGTTAAGCGCCTTGAAAAGCACTGTACTTCATTTGTTGTCCCGATTTTATCTTCCTACTCATTCCTTTATAGAAAGGAGATCTGGTAATCCATCGGTTAACGGGCTGTAATGACATTGAATATTGGCCATTTTAAGAACCAGCAATGCAAAGGATAAAAATAAAGGAGAAAATCACACGCGAGTAGAAGGAAAAGGCAGAAAAAAACGATACACAAATAACTGACAAACAGGGAAAAAAGTCTAAAGGATTCCACAACGATGCTTCGATCTTCGAAAATCCTTCTTTCCTTTTTTCAGTTAATCAAATTAAATAAACTATTTTCATTTATTTTTTACCAGATGCTGTGGACAATGTAAAGGAATTTGTCGCTCCACATTTTTGTAGTGGCCTCACGTCGCTAGAAAATTTCGTCCTGATTCTAGATTCAGCACCACTTGCGCGCGATATTAGTGTAACCGCTGCCCGGCGTATGATGCCTGGTCTTCTTGAGCTTGTAAATAGTGCTCATGAAGCCTTTTGTTTGGCTGATTCTGCGATAAACAAAATTAATAGTGAGCTGGAAAATGACTTCCTGAGGGTTGTGGTACAGGAGAAATCTACAGGCGATCGTCTCGATCAAACAAAACAAAGTTTGGCCAAATTACAGGAAAACGTAAAAGTATTACAGCAGGAGTATAATGAAGTGAAGCGGCAACTATCCCACGAAGAGTCCAAACTGAAATCAGCTCGACAGTCTCAAAAAGAAAGGGAAAGAAAACTAAAAAAGGCTGAAAAAGAACGCGAAGATGCAAAGCTCAAAGGTGCTGTTATTGGAGGAGTCCTTCTTGGACCTTTAGGAGTCGTGGCTGGTCTCGCCATAGCTGATGCTGTTGAAAGCCCCAATGTTTCCAATGCTGAACAAGCTGTTAATGAAGCGTCATCTCGCGTAACTGACATTACAAAACGTGTCAAAGGCAAGGAAACAGAGCTTTCCAACCTGGAAAACGAGAAAGAACAAGAACAACAGAAAATGAGACGGGAAAGCCAAGAGCTGGAATTGCTGAAAGCTAGAAAGCAACAAATAAAAGAATCCCAGCGCCGATTAGCAAAACTTAATGAATCCATTAAAAGTTGCGCAACCCTCGTGAATGTAACGACAGCACGAGCAAAAATGATGGCAGATGAAGCAAATGGGGAGTTACCAGATATTGAAGCAATGATGCCTCCCTTGAAGGCCGTCGCTGAAGATCTCTCTGATGCAGCACTCAGTGACTGCAAGCTTTTGTCTGGAGGGTTAAACATGAAACAAATTGGTTCTAAGATTCAAGCGATAACTTCAAAAGCATTAAAAAGCCCCACATCAGATGACCTGTACCTGTGGGCCTGATAAGAGTGACTAAGGAGGGTGCGAGAAACGTTTACAGTAATAGAAATTAACAGTCGTGCAACTGCTGAAATGTTTCCTCTCAACTCGTAGTTTATTTAACTTTACCTTGTGTTAAAATGCATTTTAGCCCATGTTTCTTAGGACGTAGCACATAGTTTAAAAAGAGAAATGTTTCCTTCCTTCTTGTTGTGGAATTTTATTTCATAAAACAAAGCAAGGTCTTAGCAAGTAAGGTGCTTCAAAAGCAGCGCGGAGTTTTACTAGTAACGGTGTGTTTAACCATTCAACATCTTTTTCCAGCTCAACCTGTCTTCAACTCTGATTTTAGAGACCTTATAAGCAAGTGCTAACAGAGAAAGACAACATACTTTTTTTTAATGAAAAAAAAATGCATTCTCGTTACTGGGTTAGGTTAACCAATTTCAATATTTCTCCTTTTGTGTCTTAAATTGATCGCTAGGAGTTGCAGAGGGATTTTAAGGTAGGGCAGTCGTCAACGATAACCTGTCAAGGTCAAATGGATTTTACGTTTTTCCGAAGCCTGAAAATGTTTCAGCTGAGTCAACTTCTTCCGAGATTTTTAATCAAATTTATACAAACCGTTTGTCTGTGTACCTGATGGCAACAAAACCAGTTTGAAATGATCACGCATTTTTTAATTGGGATTTTCGTTCAAAAGTAGCAGCACCTCGTAAATGGTGATCGATTCCTTTGAATTTGACATGTCTTATTCTGTAAAAAGTATTGCTCCGTTTTATTTTACAGAAAAGAAGTTCTCACTAAATTCAAAAGAATCGCAAAATTTAAATGTCAGCTTACTCGTTTGTAAGAAAATTAACCCTTTCCTTTCAAAAGGAGTGCGGCCTATAGTTTGAGCGTTAAAAGCAAGGTGTGTAGGGATCGAAACAAAATTGAGAGAAGGTCAGTTCACTCTCGGCATCATCATCGTTGCCGTCGACCTCATGCCTTAAAACACGAATGGGGTGCTAATCATGCATAATTTCCGCGTTTTATATATATATATATATATATATATATATATATATATATAATGTGTGTATATATATATAATGTATAAATATATATATTGTGTGTGTATATATATATATATATATATATATATATATATATACACACATTTTCAAAAACGTAATCTTGCGACGTTTTTGAAAACGGGTTTATAAATATAAACAACAACAACAAAAACAATACAATTCTAAGGAATGACCTTGGAGCATTTATATTTTTAAATAATTATGTTCATGGGTACTATAATCAAATCAGCAAGTTTCCGTGACCAAATAGTGAATCTATTTAAGATATTTTCTTGTACTTAATTAATTCAAATTGTTCATTTTCTTACAGTGTTCTTGAAAAATGTTAAAAATTTATGAATAATTGCAAATAACTGCAAGGTTTGTCGTCTGCCTGTATTAGCTTCAACTACCTAGCGGGCAGCAGCGTTTGTAGCTAATGGAAAAGTGTGTGAAAGCGAAATGCTGATGGAATCAGATCAAACATTTCACATCGTAGGCTTTTTCCGGGATTATTGGTTATTGGATATTGGCTTATTTTTTTTTTGTTTTTGTCAAGTGTTCCGCCTTGATCCGATATGTTTCTACCATGACGGTTTATTCTATAACTGAACAATTTTACCACATTTCGCAAAGGTATGCGCGGGGCCGCTCCGTTTCTCGCCTCCAACTACTGATAAAAACCGAGTTATCCTTTTGAGGGAATAAAAGTTAAGAAAGAAGGTTTTCTTGGTGAAACAAAGCGGACCATCCTAAGCGAGCGAGAAAGGCAAATCTACTGTCTGGACTTGTAATGTGTTCCCTGATCTTATTTCTTAACAGTTTATCAATTATCTTTTATCCAAGAACCTATGCAAACAATCATATGTATTCGACACAATAAAGATTTATTTCATAAATGGTCCTGTTTGAATATTATGATACAGACGCCAAAAAGCCCAACGGATAGGCACTCACAAGACCTCTTCATGATGTTGGTATAACTACAAGTTAGCATTATGCAAATAACCCTTTAACCCGTAAGAGTGACAAGGTTTTAATTTCTCCTTACAATATCACCCCTGAATAAAAAGTTTAAGTCACGAGAATAAAGGAAATGATCAACAACTAACAAAGCTCTTGATGGTTTTACAAATTCTCCTTGTTAGAACCTGGGGAATGTATAGAGAACAGTATAGAGAATATGCATAATGGTGTTAGGGTGTAAAGGGTTAAGATGTTTGATGAACAACCAGTATGGTAAATTACAATTATAACATCGAACAATCGATCTATTCCATGAAATAGATTTAACGGAGCATTTGCTACCTTTTCAGTAAGAGAGGGAGACAGAATGCCGGACAAAGCGTGCATACATCTACACACGGGGTTCAAGGCATTGCACCCAACCTCTCACTATGTTGCTGACATCTTATCTATTCTTGACCTTATATAATCTAAGACTGGACAAGAAGACTGTGAACTGTTATGAGGTCATAGCTCCTCCATATCGACCTGAAAACACAGCAGCTGGAAGCGCATGCGCCGTTTGAAAGTTGTCATCAAAGCTTCTATTAATCTGTAACAAAGAAACATTACTATCATATACCGTGCCTTTCAAAACAAGGAAAAAATGATCTAAAAAAACAGAAAAGTTCTCATGTGTTATAATTAACTGTCCGCAGAAAACTTTACACCCAAAATTGAAGTGTTTCTCAGTGTGTAAACCACGGGTTCCGTATGGTTGAGGTATTAACATATTCAATACTAGGTAAAATAGTAAAAGACAGGTGAGAAACTTGGCATGCATTGCATCTCACATCTAGATATTAGGCAGTAACTCGTTCCCACTCTTCCTTTTTGATTGCGAGAAAAGCTAACAAGGTTCGGCAATCAGCGATACATTAATATACACAGGGAAGCATTCTCACCCCTCTCTACAATTTCCACCCCCAAATACCCTTCTTGTTCACTCCCTGAGAAGACCTCATGGTCCACCTCACCTCTTATCTGAATCTTTAGTAATGCTGGGCACCTTACTGAATGCGGCTTGGAATAAATCCCTGAAATACAACACGATTTCTTAACATCAAATCCTGTGAACTGAAACAGAAGCTTAAAGGATAGGAAACCAAATGTCTATCCTATACACTTAAAAAGAACAAAACGAAAGATATATTAAGCAAAACATATGTTAATTCAGATTATTGATCATGAGCCTTAGTTGCACCCTAAAAGAGAGGAGACTTTACAATAGAAGATCTAAGGAACTGACAAAAAGAAGGAAGAAAGAAGCTTTCCCATGAGCACAACTCCTAATACAGAGTAAAAACAAAACAAACACACCTAGCATACTGTGAGAGATAAGCTGTTAGTGCTTCTTGAATAGCTTGTGCCTCCAAATGTGCCTTAAAAAAAAGGATCCTGTTAATCAAATGTACAATTCCTGATCAAAGAGATTAATTTGTTCTACTCTTTGGTTTGGAGGACAGATGAGTTTTGTTGGTACATATTACTTGAGAGATGACAGTAACAAACAGGTCTTAATAAACTAAGCCATAGAAAGTACAGCCAATCAAAATACAGAAGGACTATTGCATATTAAACACTTCCACACCCAACTTTCTGATTGTGCAAAGGATGTTGTTCCTACAAAAATTTATCGAGAGCTACCACCTCTAGTTTTTTTAAGGGTTTAACTTAATAACTCTGTTTGACACATTCTTCAAACTGTGTCCTGAGTTAAAAGAAGGTGGAAAAAATTAAAAATTCTTAAAAGAGTTCTGAGAACATTATCAAGATTTTATTAAATACAAACACTCTCCTGCATTATAACTTGGATTACCTACCTTGTAATATTTAAAAAGTAATATTTTTTCTGTATATAGACGTGTCTAGAGGTGTGTGTGTATAAAAGGAAATATGGCTGATCTGTAGGACATTGCATGACAGTTGACTTTGGTATATACTCCGGGATAAATGACAAAGCTAGACTATTGTGTGTTGTAAGGGTCACGAATTTGAGGCAGATAGATTATTATCTAAGTTTACTCCATCATAGAGGTCACAGAGAAATTTTGTTTCTTCCTCTGTATGCACTCATAATATAAACCCAACAACCATCTTTTTTGTTCGAGTGTGAGCTCAGACAGTCGACCTAGACTAATTCAGAATTATACAGTCTGTTGTCATGACTCAATGGTTTTCAAGTTCAAGAATCTCAGGTTTGAAGACATAGGAGCCTCATAGCAATGTTTTCCTATGATAAGGATACAGCCATCAGGTTGTTAGGTAAAACTTACAGCAAATTCTCAGCTGATTTTAAACTAAGTTGAAATAAAAAATACATTTTTATTTAACTTACAGTAACAGCTCCAGCTGAAGTAAATGTTTTCACCCCACTAATGAGCTTGCAGAACTCATCTACCAACATGTCAGTCAAACGGGACAACACCTGACTTACAAGCTCCTCAGATACTGCAAACACCTGAGGTAAAAATACAAAAGCTAACTTTAGAGCTACAATCAAATGCTAAAAAAAGACCATCTATTTATCTTTACTCTCATCCCTTTGCATTGGTTAGCCTGTAATCTCTTTCTCCACACTGTTCCCTGATTTTCCACTAGTTGGTATTTTTGCCTGTTTGTCTGCTTTCCTATACTTGTTTACCTCTCTGCATTTGTCTGACAACACACCTGCTTTCCAGCCATCCGTTAATAGAGGGTGTGTCTGTGTGTGTGTTCATGTTTGTTTACCATTCTGCTGCTTTGTCTGTTTGTTTGTGTGTTACTTCTGTTATTCTGTCTGCTCCTTATTTTGCACTGCAGCAACTTCTCAGCATTATAAGATCAGGTTACACATACTGCCACCCACCTGTGCATGTACAGTAACCAAGTTCATTATAACATCTTTAACATAGCTGCGCACATCTGCATAACCACAAAAGGGAAAAAAACTCATAAAAATGCTTCTGAAAGTCAAGAAAAGCAATCACACACAAAGCGAAGGTGTGTTTTTTAACACAGTCTACTGTTGACATTTCTGTATCCTTGTACCTTTTGGAGGAAGACAGTTGTGCCATTTGAAGTCACCTATTGTCATCCCAGACTCCACATGGGTCAACAGTGGCTCAGCTTTCTGATCAATGTATTCCTTGAAGATTTTGTTTTCCAAATCACACAATTCACTGGTGAGATCCTTATGACAATGAATGAATGATTGTTATGTAGCATTCACTCATTGGAAATAAGCAGCAAAGTGACAAGTAAATATAAAGAAACCTATTGACATCTTTTTTTAGCCATTTTTGAACCAAAGTTTGGAATAATAAACTAAGAAATATATCTTAAGTAGAATAATACATAATCATGACACATGTTGATGTCAACATTTATTAGAAGCATTGACTTATAGCTAACCATGCCTGCAGGTTGTACTCACTCCATTTAGTAAGTGAATTATTTCAGAATTGACTTGGAAAAAACAAAGAAACAAAAAAACAAAAAACAAAAAAGTGTGACTGCCTTGTACATAGAGTATCTAGTTACAGGCTTTTGGCTTCACTAACTTTGTATGCTTATACATATTCAAGTACACCAAAGCTGATTTTCAAATACACTGCACAGTGTACTTTTTTTGCAGTTAAATTACCTTTTTAAGCTTGTCACTGATAGGATAGTCGTTATTTCTAAAGCTGTCCACCAGTTTTGGAAGGACATTGATTCTTACATATCGACAGTTATTGAGCACAATCAGCAACCTTTCATCCTGGTTAAAAAACAGATCAAATGAAATACACACAATAAATTTTGTAGAGAAATAGAGTATATATTGCCAGACAAGTTTGATAAGTCATGAAGAGAATGCTTTCAAGTGGTTACTTAAAAGGAATAATTGATTACCTGACCACTTCCCAAATACGGGGGAGGGAGTGCCAAGGGCTGCCAAACCAGTCAATATTCCCTCTGTATTTCAGTGACCAAGTTTAGTTTTTATATGGTCAATTCAACTTTTTATACAGTCAACTCTCTACTTTTTATATGGTCAACTTGAGTTTTATGTGGTCCCCTTTTTACTTTTAATAACATCAATTTTTACTTTTCACATGGTCAACTCAACTTTTTATTTTTTGTATGGTCAAGTTGACTTTTTATTTGGTCAAGTCGACTTTTGATATGGTCAACTTTTTGCTTTTGATATCATTCAGAGAAAAACACAGACTGCAGACTAGCAGTGAAGTGCAGACTGAGTGTAAAATGCAGACTGAAGACTGCAGACCAGACCAGGGGTAAAATGCAGACTCAGTTCTAAAACAACCCGCTTCTTCAGAAAAACTTCAAGAGATAGCTGGGATTGAGGCTGGCGATAATTGTCATGGCGATTGATGTTTTAAACTTCACTTCCTCAGATGGTTTTGGCATCGACATAATGTTTTAAGGTAAGAATGATTAGCTAGCAAGCTAAATACATTGCCCTTGTTAAGGAATAAACAGTTCTGCTAAGCAACATCAGGCAGCTTTAACATACATGTAGCTCATGTATACTTTGTTTGGCCTTAAAAGAAGTAACGATAAACTTTCATCACAAATCAGCAATTTTGATTACTTGGACAATAAAATCCCATTTCTAGTACTGTTGTTCAGTTCGCAATGCGAAGGTGGGTGTGATCTTGCATGGTGCCCTGTATCAGAAGCTTCAAGACATTCAACACTTCACTCTTGCTCTTCACAATCAGGACAATACCACAGTCACAAACTGTTGATTCTTTTAGATCCAAGTCTGCATTTTACCCCTGATCTGCAGTCTTCAGTCTGCATTTTTACACTGACCACATAAAAAGTCAAGTTGACCATATAAAAAGTAAAAAATTGATCTTATCAAAAGTTAAAAGTTGACCACAAAAAAACTTGAGTTGACCATATAAAAAGTGAAAAGTTAACCGTATAAAAAGTTGATTTGACCATATAAAAAGTAAAATGGGTCACAGAGGGAATATTGACTGGTTTGGCTCCCCATAGAGTGCCATTTGAAAGAAAGAAGCAGAACAAAACATTCCAAGCACAAAAACGGAATGGAAATCCCTAATGACAGAAAGAAGACTGAAGGAGTTGAACTGACAACAAATGGGAGGAGTACATGTGTAAAGCTGTAGGGTGGTACACTTCAACCCAGAACCACTGGATTGAAGTACAGCATCCCTTACCACTTGATCAAGTTACCCTGAACATGTTTTTAAGTGTGGTGAAATCAAATGATACACTTAACAAACCTGTACATCACAAGCTAGCAGGTGAGTGATTTACAAGGTAGTAGCTTATTGCTCAAAGTCCCATAACATCAAAAATTGGGTAATATGAATCTTTCATGCTGTGACTTGTAAACTTAATAAGCAAACAACTCCACAGGCTTAACAGACCAATTGATTCAAAATCACACACTTTTTACAACTGCATGGTTATACCACTGTCATAAATAGACCATGCAATTTGGTTAGCAAGAACTACCGGTAACCCATTACATCTCAGATTTCAAATAAACTAAATCTTCAAAACTGAAGTTGCCTTTGAGTCGCACAAATCATCTTAAATGAAACAACATTTAAATGTTGATGTTTTGTATATTAAACAATTTTGGCTTTAAAATTAAGTAGAATTTTCCAAGCTTTAGCTAAAGATCTTCCATATGAACCTCTATAACCCAAAAAGCCTACCATTGTAAACAATATTTGCCAGAACTTCTGACAAAACTTACAACATCTGGTGTATTGTCTTCCATTGACTGAGATGATATATCCAGATTCTCTTGAGACCCACTTCCAGTACTGCCCTTTGTACCAGACCTGCTTGTCAGACAGAACCCAAAACATTTATCAAGAAAAGCTGATGGTAGACCTTATGTAATGAGAAGGCAGCTGACTTCTGGATTTCAGATATGCTGATAAATCATAAAATGTGATTTGACATATTGTACACTTAAAAAAGGTTGTTCATTTATATCAAAACAGGTGAAGTTGCTAAAGAAAAGGAATTCTTTTCACCTTGAAAAGTCTTGCAAAAAAATCATGTATCACTCACAAAGAAACTTTGTCTGACTCCTGATCTGGTTGAAAAGCCAAATGGTGAAGACACTTGATAAAAGCCTGAAAAGTCAAAAATTAAAACATTATCACCACATTGTATTATGTACCACAACACAAACTGATCAGGATAATAAATTAAAAATTTCAATATAAAATTAAAGAGCCTTTTTTTTTGTTCACTCCTCTGTTTACTCATTCATTTGTTCATTTATCCAAGATAAACTTGTTGTTCATTCAGAAATAATTGCATTTGGCTCACAGATGGGGAATTCCTTATATGACTCAAACCAATGATTACAAACCTGGAACATCTCCTTGAAAAGATCAACTGCATCTGTTTTCAGCTGTATATTCTACAAAAGAAAATGAACATTTTTTTTACATTTGACAACCAAAGCCAACATTTGCCATCTTCTGATCCTACTACATTATGTACCAAACTTGTTACATATTTTCAAAACACTATTTTTCTAATTGTCAGCATTTCTGCATACACAGGCATGAAAAACATCTCAGTCTCTTAATTGGAGAAGTTTTCAATAACAAGAGTGAACAAAATTCAAAAAAGAAACTTTCATTGATAATAAACTGGGATTTGAAATATGATGGTGCACTCAGGAATGCAGACAACACTTCAGGTACCAATAACAGATTCTGCACAAACAGATAAATTAATATTCCATTAAACAATCCATTAATAAGGATATAAATTAAGTACTATATTGTATTAAAAGGCATTAAACCTTTCACTCCCATGAGTGACAACACAGAATTTTTCCTTACAATATCAATATAAAATCAAGCGGATAAGTGATGAGAATAAAGAAAAATATAAATTAGGGGATTATAAGTTAATCTAATACCAAATTCTCCACACTTACATGTACATTATAAGAACTGTATGGCACACCGTAAGGAAAACAACTAATGTGATCTTGGGAGTGAAAGGGTTCAAAATAAATAATAGCAACTGGGTTGGTTTTCATATTATAACTATTATGAAAAGTCCCCAAAAGACAATGACTTCTTAAATATGCAAAAAGCAGAAATCATTACCTTCCTTTTATCTGTTTCTCCACTCAGAGCCATTTCTCGTAGTGTATGGAGCGTTTCCATGACAATGTTTTCAAACATTAGAGGCTACAATATATTGAAGACAGATATTCATAACAAAGTTTTGAGATGCTAGGAAGGGATAGACGGTAAAATGAATGGCCATGCACATTATCCACGATGACCTTGTTTTTACCATATTACCCATGGTAAAACTGCCAAGTGCACTTTGCACTATCATCTTATCACCCATTGTAAAACACTGCCATGCACATTTTCCACAATTACCTTATTACATGATGTATAATGCTGGTAAGTGCATTTTCCATTGTTATCTTGTTACACTGAGTAAAGAGCCTGATTTGATTCTCAATGAAACTGACATGGAACACCCTATGTCATCAATACAAGTAATCAGCTGGAGAATGAAAATTGAAAATCCTAAAAGAGGGAGCACACAGGTATTTTTAATTAGCTCTTTTCATTTGTTTAAAAGTGGCCAGTGAAAATACAAACTAACAACCTTACCAAGCTTGTGATCCGACCAACATTTTCCTGCAGCTCCAAGCTCCAGAACTCACTGCAGTGTAGTGATTTGATATCTACATAAAGATTTGGAGAGAACAGCTCAGTTAAGTTTCTCCAGACAATGGTCCTAAAATGTAAATGTCCCAACAAAAAGTTCCTAATGAGAATGGCATAATTGTTATGCAGAGGACACTTTGATTGGTATGACTTTCCATTAGCGGTATTTTTTCTTAACTTTAATATAAGTTTATTTCTAATTCCCATAGAAACATACTTCATTGTACATCTTCTTCCATTAAAACTTATTGATGCTACATGGAAAATTCAAGTTTTATCTAATTGCAAGTCTGAAAAATAGTATCTGAATTAAGAAAGACTTAAAGAATGATGTTGTTTTTCCATTGTCACAAGCATTGGAGAGAAAAAATTAGGAATCAAACCTGTGACCCTCAGATTCTGCACTCCAATGCTCTACCACTAAGTCACAGAGACTATATGGTGAGCAACACCTGTTAGTTCAGTAAGTTCATGACATGTGCCATGCATACTGCTAGGATCAGCAACGTCGAGAAAGTCATGTTTGTAAATACAATAGGAGAGATGATAAGTTTCCAGTTGCCATCTCTCTTATTTCATTTACAAAGAAAGACTTGTGGGAAACACTAGTTAAGGCATGGGGGACAGAGATACTCAAAACAGAATTGTGAAGACTTCACAGATGTAACCTTCAGTGGCTTCTTTAAAGACTTCTTTAGCACAGAGCATACGCAGGTCTCCAACCAGCTTTTTAACACCATCTAAAGCTTGATGTGGAAGAGTTAACCTTTGTAGGGACTCCATGCAAGATCTGTTAACAACAACATTAGGTTTTAAGACTCAGTGTACATGCACATTAAAGAAAAACTTGTATGTAAATGTAGAGTCAATTACAAACTTGGCCAAAACACTGTCCCTAAAGGTTTGCAACTAAAACAAATAAGAAAGACTCAGATTGGGGAAATGTAACACACAAAAGTTTCTGAAGCATCATCAAATGAGCATCTCAGTGATGTCATAAGGTGTGGGTAAAAGAAAAAACATATACAAACAATACAGATGAAACAAAATGCCTACAAAAGTTTGTTGCTCAGTAAAGACAAACCTGAAACCAAAAAAAATTAAAGTTTGCATGGTAACTGAGACCATTTTGTTGCTCCACATTCTGTTGGTAGTTTTGCTCTACTCACAGTTTAATACCATGGCATATTTTGAGTGATCTGATGCCCTTATCTGGCAAAATGGCAGAACAGTGATGAGTAGCACAATCACCATGCCCATAGGGGGTTGACTGCAAACTTTCAATGATTTCTTCTGTTTTACATTTTCATTGAAGCCAAATCTTTGCTTACAGGTAAAATTGTTCTTATTGATTATAGTAAAAACAAAAAATCAGAAAACCACATTACTGTCTTTGAGAAAATACCCGTGAAAGATGAAAAATCGAGCCAATTTTGGTTGTAACGCGTAACACAATCTCAGTGGTAAAATTTTTTAAATACATTTTTCACTGAAAATATCACCGAAGATTTTGGCCTCCTCTTATTTCTTAAACCGTATTAAAATGTATTTCGCAAAATAGTAATTTTAGGAGAGTTACTATTTTGCGAAATGGACAATTTTTACCCAGCGGTGACTAACGTAACCTCTTTTATGTCATAAAAATACATTTAAACATTGAAATTAGTATATCAACGAAGATTTTGGCCTCTTCTTATTTCTTAAACCGTATTAAAATGTATTTCGCAAAATAGTAATTTTAGGAGAGTTACTATTTTGCGAAATGGACTATTTTCACCCTGCGGTGACAACGTGACCTCTTTCACGTCACGAAAATACATTTAAACATTACAAATTAGTATATCACCGAACATTTTGGCCTCCTCTCATTTCTTAAACCGTATTAAAATATATTTCGCAAAATAGTAATTTTAGGAGAGTTGCCATTTTGCGTGACCTCTTTCATGTCACGAAAATACATTAAAACATTACATTATAGTATATCCTCAAAGATCTTGGTCACCTCCTCTTTAATTCAGTAATTTCTAAACTAATTGAATGTAGTTATTCCGAAAAATGTTTATTTTGCGAAATGGATTATTTACACTCGGCGGGCGGGAACTCGAGAATAAGGGCGAAGGGATTGTTGCAGATTCCCTTGAACTTCACAATGTTTGGATGTTTCAACTCTTGAATGATTCTTGCTTCCTTTACAAACGTTTTCTTATCCAATATGTCCTCGCCGAGCAATTTCTTAACGACGACTTTCTCCGCAGCGGCCGATTTCCCACCCGCATCAGGAACAGTCTGCCAGTTAGCAGTGAACACAGCGCCATAAGCGCCCTTACCAATGATTTCCTTGTTTGTCAAACACTTGAAATCATGAACTGGAAGACCTGAACAGTCGATGGTCTTGGGCTTAAGAACAGGAAATTTAAAAGCCATAATCTTGCCTGATTTAGCAGCACACAAAGCGAGCACAAAGCGAACTTCTTGCAGCACGTGGAACTTGCGCAAATGCGAAACACGATCTCTTGCTCGTAAGGAAGAGGTGTGCGACGGGGGTGTAATCAGAAGCGCGTAACTTTTCCATGTATATTATTTTTATTAAAAATTTTGAAGCAAAGTAACTGTATTACTTGCGATTATAAAACTGCTGGACGACTATTTCGGCATGGGCATGCTTCTGTTCTCTATACGAGACGGAGAGTCTAAACATGTTTAGCCACCACTGGAAAACTGTCATGTTGGTTTTGCACCGAAACAGTGCACACCCTTCAAAACGCACGAAATGGAGTCTTTCAAATCTCTCAGGAGAACATGCCAACTTCCCCCTAGAATAGCTCCGTCGCTAGTAAAAACAGCTTTTACCTCTTACTTTCCGCTCCCTCCCATGTCATTAATTGGACACAACCTAGGTTTGGGCCTTCAGCGGGGCTCTCTTGACTTGGTTTCGGCGTCACGCAATACGGTACTACACAGTTGTCGATTTTGATTAAATGAACCTGTTAGCCCAAACCTCTTGTGGCATGTTTATTGAGATGGAGTTATTAATTGGCTCTTACTTAATCATTTGAAGCTGAGGAAAGGAAAACACCGCCTTGTTGCTTGGCAGTGAAGAAGTACAGACCACAGCTAATTAAAACACTTGCGTACAAGGAAAGGTGAGACCTGTAAACCCAATCTGTCACGAGTCAGTTTTCTCAGGCGGCATTTAAATCATTTATGGTCCATTTTGCAAAACAGTAATTCTTCCAAAATTACTGCCTCGCGAAATAAATTTAGAAGACGTTTATATAGGTGAAGATAGCTTAGACCTTTTGAGATTTGATAGTGCTTTAAATTGAAACTTACCGAAAACCTATTGTATGACACGAGAAGTAACGACATCGTTACCGCTGAGTGAAAATAGCCTAGCTATTACGCAAAACAGTAATTTTTCTGACATTACTACTTTGAGAAATTAATTATATCTGGATAGAGAAAGAGGAGGTGACCGAACCCTTCGAGAATATACTATAATGAAATGTTTAAGCGTATTTTTGTGACCCGAAAAGAAAGTTATTGAGGGGTAAAAATAGTCCATTTCGCAAAATAGTAACTCTCCTAAAATTACTATTTTGCGAAATAAATTTTGAAACGGTTTAAGAAATAAGAGGAGGACAAGATGTTCGGTGATATACTAATTTGTAATGTTTAAATGTATTTTTGTGACATGAAAGAGGTCACGTTGTCACCGCAGGGGTGAAAATAGTCCATTTCGCAAAATAGTAACTCTCCTAAAATTACTATTTTGCGAAATATATTTTAATACGGTTTAAGAAATAAAAGGAGGCCAAAATGTTCGGTGATATACTAATTTGTTATGTTTAAATGTATTTTCGTGACGTGAAAGAGGTCACGTTGTCACCGCAGGGGTGAAAATAGTCCATTTCGCAAAATAGTAACTCTCCTAAAATTACTATTTTGCGAAATACATTTTAATACGGTTTAAGAAATAACAGGAGGCCAAAATGTTCGGTGATATACTAGTTTGTAATGTTTAAGTGTATTTTTGTGACATGAAAAAGGTCACTTTGTCACCTCAAGGTGAAAATAGTCCATTTCGCAAAATAGTAACTCTCCTAAAATTACTATTTTGCGAAATATATTTTAATACGGTTTAAGAAATAAGAGGAGGCCAAAATGTTCGTTGATATACTAATTTGTAATGTTTAGTTGTATTCTCGTGACATGAAAGAGGTCACGTTGTCACCGCAGGGGTGAAAATAGTCCATTTCGCAAAATAGTAACTCTCCTAAAATTACTATTTTGCGAAATGAATAAAAATCCTACTTGTTAATGAACGATTACTCCAAAATCCTTGTGAAAGTTATCTTTACCTTATTAGAAAATATATCTGCACTATTTCTTTTGTTTTATTTCATCTGACCCGATTTCGTTTCGTTTCGTTTCGTTTCGTTTCGTTTCGCAAAATAGTATAAGCCCTTTTTACCATGTTGACGCCATATTGAGAACGGAGTCTCGCCACAAATGCCACCAAAAGCGCTATGAAATCTGCTGTTTGCTCCGCCATTTTCGCCTTCATCTTTTCATCTCCGTGTCGAAAATATCTTGGTAACCTTTCCTATTTTGGTTTCTGCCATTTTATCAAGGGTCGGGGGTCTTCAAGCTCAATAATTTTTCTGAGATTTAGCCATCTGTAAATATCGCTTCAAGTGTGTCGGGAAATGGTGCTCGCCGACAAAGGAAACTCTCGCGTATGAAGATTTTCACCAGATTTAATATTTCTCACGATTTACAGCTCTCACTTTGTGGGTACACGTCGTGGTATTCTCTCTCCAAAATCGATCTCATCTGTCTGTAATTCTATATTTTATCCTTAAGATGAATAGCCTATTGTTACAATCACGCGTTTCGCTATCAGTTCATGCACGTAACATAAAAAGGTATCGCTTCCGGTCACGACAAGTACGCTTGACAAGAGGTATGGTTAACGAAAAGGAAGAAAAGCTTGCAAGGATCAAAGAGTGGAGGAGGAAAAAACAGGAAAAGAATAGGCTAAGGAATCTAAAATATAATGAAAAGAATCGCAAAAAGAGAGCTGAATTTCCAAGAGAAAAATGGTGATGTGATCGTCAAGTTGTAAAAAGAGGCAGAAAGTCAGTTTTTAGAGTGCCAGTTGATCTCACTAGGGAGATACTAGCCTCCATGTAATACAAAATGTTATTATTTCTACTTTTTACTGTGTCAGTGAACTCGAAATTGATTATTTGTGAAAAAGACCACACCCACAAGGGATTATGGGTAAATACAAATTTGAATCAAATGTGACAAAAATAAAATAGTTTGAAATAAATCAGTTGTAATAATAAATTTGAGTTTAAAACAGACCTAAAGAAGTGATTTTGTCCCAAACTAGCAATTTTCACATTTTCCATACAAGTTACAGAAGTGGGTATGGTGATTGTGCTACTCATCAGTGCATAACCATAATGGTGTAACCATATAGTAATGTCATTAAAAGTTCACACAGAGTAGGATGTATCAATGAATGGGCATTTCAATGCTATCAAAATAGTTACCTGACATATCTGACACAGGATGGAAGCCAAGCACCCATCCCCTCTACAGGAGTATGCCAAGATCCTTGTTTCTCTTTAGAAGGAACATTAAGCACAGTAGATGAACTTGGAAAAAATGCTGCTTTAACAAGATCTGCATATGATGATGTCACATCATGAATCATTTCCTGAAAGAAGGAAATAAACCAGGAAGAACACCATGGCAACATGTACATTAGGTAAAAAGATAGAATCCTTTCCTTGATACATGGCCTGCATTTTTTTTCCAACCAAGAACATGATTAAGTTAATCATACTTCCACGAAATCAATTCTAAACATACATGTACGCACAAATATTGCTGCAAATACCTCAAAAGATTTTTGCTTTTGTGCTGTAGGCTTGAGTTGCTTTGATGACCCACTGGACTGTTTGGAAAGGGAAAAAAGTCAACTTTAAGTTATTTGATATAGATGGGAGTATATGCACAAAGACAAGTGCTGATACTAGAGGAATAGTAGGCTGCTTTGAATTATAAAGGGTCTGACTACTATGGGTGGCAAAGAATAGAAGAAAAAAATTATTACAAACTTTAAGATGGTTAACAGCCTGTAATAAAACTAAATATTGAGTAAAATCCCTTTAAGTTAATATGTCTTCCAACTCTGCATTTCAAATTTGGAATTGATTGGCTTAAAAAATTATAGATGATAACTATGGTAAAGAAAAATGACTGAATCATTCCAAAGGTGAAGCATAGAAGTATAGGAATGATATTACTAGAGTGTCAAATCTGTATGAATTTGGTCATCTATACTGCACTTCCTTCTATCTATTTTAATCAAATGAATCTGATGTTGTGTGATTCATCAAATGATTATGTATAATGTGTAACAATGTATAACTTAAAAATACATATCATCTTCTTTGTCCCGTTCTGCCCAGACAGAGAGTAGGGTCATAAAAATATCTGCACAACTGGTTTTAAGACTTTGAACAGAAGGTCAATGATAGGCACAATAACATTAACAAGAAAGTAACCAAACATACATCTCCAATCAGGGTTCCATTGAAGTAAGCTTGGCCCAGTTTCCACAAATCAGGTAAACCCTCAGTCAATAGCTCTGATAATTCCTCAACAAACACCACCCGCTGCGGCACTGAAGAACCACTTTTAACTGGGTGAAAACAATCAGGATGATACACATTAGACAATTTAAACAAATTGACATAAATAAAACAGTCAGCCTAAATGAAACCTAAAAAATAATATGACCACATTAGATTAGTTTGAAATCACCACATTTTTACATTTTATTCCTTCAAATTATTGTTTTTGTCATGATAATACTATTTTTCACTGGTGCCTACAATGTACAAGCAATATCAGTAACTTGTAGACAGTTTTTCTATAACTATAGCACTAATAAAAGAAGACATTTAATGCCAGGTTAAATTGTTCTGTTGTTGGCAAGGAAATCTTATTTTCACACTGTCTCTTCCCGTTAGGGTGGAGGGGTGGGAGAGGGATGTGGTATTGTAATGGTTGGACTGAACTCTAAGTGGAGATATTGAGGTTTGACGCCTGGCTAGTAAGTCATTGTGTCGTGTTCTTGGGCAGGATACTTTACTCTTGCATTACCTGTCTTCACCCAGGAGTATTACGGGGTACCAGCAAAATGTCAGGGAAGCCTCAAAAATTCTATCAGGTTACCTTGGCACGGAGCAGAGGGGAAGGGTTGCAAATAGTAAAATAACCCTGTTTACTTCACTTCTCAGAAGCTGACTATGAGAATGAAGTGTCTTACCCAAGAACACACCTCAGTGAACCACTCAGACTGCTGGATTAAGGTGTCCAAAGTGCTGATCACAATGCTATCTGATCTTGTTATGATAACTTCCTATGTGTAAAGGCAACTGCAGTAAATTACTTATAAAACACAAACTTATCTATAAGAAGTATTCTGTAACTTACTGTTTCTTTCTAAAGAAGTTGTCTTGTTTAGTGCTGGAGTGACTCCAAGAATTCCCAGAGATTCACTATGATAAGATCCTGAAACCAAAGATATTCAAAATTTCTCAAAAGTCCTTTAAAAATACTTTAAATTTTCTTTTTTTAGTTACATTAAGGTAACATTGTTTGTTTTTCATTGTGAGAGTAAGTTACAATTTATGCATGCTTCTCCTGAACAATTATTTAATATTCAAAAATTATGAAAAAAAAAATTGAAGTTTGAGACCTGTGTGAATATAAAATAAATTCTGACAAAAAAAAAAAGAGACCTTAAGCCACAGCCTTTTCAAAATTTTTCCTTTTAATTCTGACACTAATGACAATTTAAAATTATTAATAGCAACTGAAAGCAAAATAATTTTGCTATGGCAATGACAATTTAAAGTAAATACAATTTGAAAACCCATCCTCAAGTGGGAGAAAATGTGAATTATCAAGTTGCAATAGGTTCCATTTTGGTGCCATGAACCTTCCATACTAATCATGCCATAAAGTAACCACTAACCTGATACATTCCCCAATTTAGGGATGCTAAACAGATCACTGAGTGAACTTGTGCAAATGCAAATGTGTGTCATGTACATCAAAAATCAGATTATAATACACAAACCCATGGCGTTCACACTTCTTGATGCTCTGATGTCTAATTCTGTCTTTGAAGAATCAACTTGAAGCAGAGGAACAGAGTCTGACAAGAAGAACAAAACTATTTCAGCCAAGTAATATGAAAGAGAAGTTGCACAAGATTGTAAGAAAACAACAACAAGATTGTAAGAAAACAATAACAAGATTGCCAACTTAAAAAGAAAGTCTCCTAGAAGTACTTGCCTTTAGATTTGTGATCTTCTTGGCAGGTGGTCATTAGCTTGAGTAACCAATCCTTCTGAAGGACAAGACATTCCCAAGCAGGGTCCCCTTGGTAGTCTAAGTCCACTAGATACCTAGTATATAAAGACATGAAATGGTGGCTTGGAGGTTTCCAAATTGACACAAGTTCTTACAGTCTCTTTTATTGTTGTGTTCATGCAGAACATTGTTAACAAACTTTGACTTTCTGATGAGTATTGAGGTTTTTGGACATGCATTTACATGTATGTGATCAAACATGGTACATAACACACTGTATTTACATTATCAAAATTAAAATAATAAAGAACACTGAGACAGGAATACAATTATGAGAAAAGGTTTGTATTTCTTTTGTCCTAACTTCATGGACAACACTATAATTAATAAAGAAAAGGACTTTGCACATGGAGAACACAGAATGCCTTAGAAACAACTAGTTCCCCAAACGAAAGTGCACAAAGATCTTTCTGGTTGAGTTTCATTTCTAGCAGAAGGAGGGGCACCAGCTTTAGTCAGACTGTGGAAAAGACATGTTTTCCACCAGTTTACTTGATTCTTTAAACTCTGTTAACTTTATCTAATGTCAGTAATACCTTATGAGTCTCTTCTGTTCTTCTGGTGGTGATGGCAAATCAGCAAGTTTCAGTTTGAGATGTTGACGGAAACTCTCTATTTTGGCTTCAACTTCTTGCAAAACTAGAATATGAGTAATTAACTGACTCAATCAACAGTTAAGATAACCTTGTTTTACTTTCATCATCATTATGTAGATATTTAGACCTAAAATTATTTTTTGAAAGGAAATATTCAAGTTTCAAATTATTGATATGTAAAAAGCAGATTGAATGAAATGCCAGAACTGTTGTTGGTAGCCATAAATATCATGTGCAATTCTAATGTTCTTCATACTGGAAAGCTGTTGACCTAGGGGTTAGCACACAGGACTCTGACTCAAAAGGTCTGGGTTCCAGACCTGGCTGGGTCAATGTGTTGTGATCTTGGGCAAGATCCTTTACCCTCACAGTGCTTCTCTTTATCCAGGAGTTATGAAATGCAGGAGGGTAACCTGCAATGAACTGGCATTACATCCAGGGAGAGTAGCAATACTGCTGATCACTTCATGCTTAAAAAGTCAGGATAAGCTCTGGTACCTTGTGGGCCACTAAGATTAATTGCTGACTTGACCTTAAATGTTCCTCTCCTAGTTATCCTGAATTACCATGAATTACCACGTTATCAAAACGCTCACCTCTTTTGAAGATCTTTATGTCTGTTCCAGCAAACAATGATTTGGCCCTTCCATAATCACTAATTACCATCTCATAATCACCCTGAATTTATACAACAAAGATAAGTTTGGAATACTTTTGACCTGAAACTCATTGATCTGTACACAGATATGTGTCTACCTTGGCTAAAAGGCTTCACCCCCAGAATACTACTTTGCAGGAAAGATGACAATGCGAAGCAAACATGCTCCGTGCTGAAGGGTACTTTTCTAGACACATTTGAACCCTTTACATGTAACTCTGTGAGATTAAATTATTAATTCTCTCTTCAAATGACTACATATTTCTGGTTAATAAGTTTAGAGAATTTTTTGTTACAGTGTATATGAGAATAAAATAATCCAGTTGATAAGTTTCTCTCTTCTTATCCCATGTTTACTGGATGATGCCATAACATTGTAAAGAGAAGATACATGTTGGTCCATGCAGGTTAACAAGTTTAAGGGTTAGAGCTAAGATTAAGGCATACCTGCTGTATGTTTCTCTCAATGCATTGTGGCAGACTAAACAGAAATCTGAATCTCTGTAGAACATTGAGAGCATTTCTTGTTCTGTCAGCATCATCTTTGCGACCCAACACATCCTGGAACAAGCCCTCTGCATTTTTGCTGGCACCTGTTGGGAAAAAAAATTAATAATTTTGTCTTTTAGTTTAGAATTAACTTCAAGTCAAAACGATTGTAAGCAAGTTCAATTTTTCCTTCTTTTGTTCCTAGTACATCATTGTGTTGCTATTTTTAAAAATTACTCAGGAGACAAAGAGAGCTTAATGTGTACAACCCAAACTTGTTTAACATCATTTTACTCTTTAACTCCCAGAAGTGATTAATTTGTAACTTCTCCCAATAAGTTCAATACATTATCCAGCAAACAGGCAATGAGAATACACAAACTTATCAGGTAGAAGTTGTTATCTTGATCCAACACCAAATTTTCAAAACTAATTTACAGAGAAATATGTAGCAGCTAGAGGAGAGGATTAACAATCACATCCTGAAGTTAAAGGGTTAAAATGAAAAAATTCGTTTAAACTACAACATAAAAATATTATGTACTAATTGTTCAAGGATTTAGCAATTTTAATATTTAAACCAAGAAAGGTTTTGACCAAAACATGCAAGACCATACAGTAAATGAGTTACATGTAGTGCATAATAGTATACTGTAAATGAACTTATATATTCCAGAAAAAAAATGCAAAACCATTTTTGGAAATATTTCAGCAAGAATCAAATCACAGCTTGTTTATATGAAGTTTAAAATAAGTAGTCTTCAGCCCTTAAGTGCATCAACAACACCTTGTACAAAAGACTCCAGTTTCTCTACAATGGATCCTCCATCACAGGTGCTTTCATCCCGCAGCATATCATGCTGAACACCTAATAATCATCTTAGTTAAAGAAATTCAGCCATTAAATACTCACAGCATGTGTGTTATTAGCATACCAAAAAAAAAAAAGTCAAGTTAGCCTTCCATGCTTGAGATATTACCCCACAATTATACTGTTTTATTAATTGTTAACTTCATTTTGGCCTATCAATTCCCATTTTGAAATGTGAACAGTACAAGTACATGTATATCCACTCTATCTAATAGAAAGTAAGTGGATGAGGAAAAAACAGAGAGAAAAAACTGACACGTGTATTTTACACAACACCTGGATTAAGTTATCTCCATAATATGTCGATAATTATTTAATACCAGTATATCATAATTGTCTCCTAGTAATCATTATTGTCACATATAAATGTATGCATAGCCTATCTACTCATTACACTCATTTCCATTGAAATCCCCAACCTTAAAGGATACTTCTGAGAGTGTCTACAGCATCAAGGAATGTCCCAACATTCTCTTTGACAAATGCAAGTGGACCAGTAGCCCTTCTTGACTCCTCATGTCTCAGATATTTGAGACCAGCTGATAGTGTATTAAATCTGAAAATATATATATATATAAAATCAAAATAAATTTCAAACTTAAGATAATACTTTTTGAAGACATGTTTTGCCATGAATTGGGCTGCCATCAGTTTCCTGATTTGTATCTATTTACTCTGTTCTTACACTTCACATTGAAATCTCATTAACAATACAAATCAATTAACAACTATTCCCTTCAGTGTTGGCAGTTAGTTGTGGATATTTATCAAGCTGTGAAGGGGTAAGTTAAGTATCCACTGCTAGCCACTAACACTGAAGTAAATAGTTGTTTTTGTACAAACTAAAATAGTAACTAATCTAATTATTACAATACTTTTGGGGACAAATCCTGCATGAGTTGCTTGAAGGTGAATAGGAAAGAACATTCGGAGTGTAATCAGGGCACACCTTTCCACTGTGTTAGTATGTACTAAATAACAACATTTGAAATTACAGTAATTACTGTTACCAATAGTTTTAGAAGACCCACACACATGTAAGTTAACCCTTAGAAGGTTCATCTCAGTAAAAAAATAATTACAATATTATATTGCATTGTATCTGTTCCTTTAGCTCAGGTTACTAGCAGCCAACGCACACAGTGCCTCCTTTAATAGGCAATAAGCAAAAGCTAAAATGACTTATTGAATGTCTAAAAAAAGTACCATTGTGAGTTTGAAATTTATTTTGATTCTATCATAGTCACAAAAATTAAAACTTACTGAAAGCAACTCAAAAGCTGCCACTGACTGCATTTTTTAATTTATAGACAAATACTGAGTTTTTACTCTCCAACTGAGTGAATATTAAAAAAATTATTTGGTTTTCAAAAATTGGTGCATATGCTCACTCATCTTTTTTTAACTTAAGAAAATGTGTGTTTCATTAATAGCAAAAATGAGGGATAAAAGAGTTTGTCACCACAGACCAAAATTTCATGAGAGGATTGAATCAGCCTGCATACTCAGAAAAACAGTTGGATGACTTAAAAGTAGAATAAGAAAACTGAATGACTATCTGATAGTCAAATGTTACTCACTCAGTTTCTGAGTGACTCTCCATTAAAAACCATCCTGGAATAAAGTTTTCACTGAGGATATTTCCACTTCCTTCAAGGCACAAAAACAATAACAAAAATTTAAAAAAAACCATACACCAAAGAATTCTGGAATTACTCAGACAAACGTGATCATGTGTAACACACAAAATGTTCTAACTTGAAGTTTCCATGTACTCATTAATAAAAGTTTGAAAGTATCTATCAGAATCATTGGCCACTTATCCACCCTATATGACCATCTAGTTAAAAGCTTAGAGAAATAGCAAACAAATATAGATTCAAATTACATTGGAAGGCATTTGAATTACACAGGTACAGCAGTTTTGATCTTTTGAAAGAGTTATTTTTAGGCAGTATGATCAAGCAAAAGTTGACATTTGAAAAAAAATATAAACTTTTGAAACCAGTAAAGGTATACAATGATAGAAATATCAGTGATGGAAATACCAATATTATGCAACAACAAGTTAAGAAAAATTTATTCATTAACAAATGATTCCATTTGAAATAAATCAACCAACCTTCAGGATAACACTCTTCAAGTTGTTCCTCTGTAAATTTATTGCTAACAAAAGATTTTAATATTAAAACATCAGAGTTAATATCTCTTAAAAATAATCAGTTTTCTACATGTACAAATAAATCCTGGACTGTTATGTCTTCGTTTGATATCATATGATGGCATCATTCATCTTAATATCAATTAACAAGTTATTGACAAGTTCTTTCCTTCACTGAAAGGAGCTTTTCTCTAGTGTGCATTTTAACAAATGTAGCAGAACTAACCTAAATATATCAGTGCCTGTTCCCAAGGGATCTAGGTTGGTATTCATCTGCGGTGACACAGGTCTTACCGAGCCAGACCGCACCCTTAATTCTTCTGGGTCTACCTCTTCCAACCAAACAGCACTCTCTTTCAAAGGATCTGCAACCAAAATTGAGAAAAGATGCAAATAAATTTTCTTTCTTTCAATATATAATATTTAATATTACATTGAAATGCCTCATTGAAACACAATTTCCCAAGGAGAGGCTAAATTTTTAGCACCATTTGTTATCACCTATATCTCAAACTCAATAGTATCCTGAACTGTTTGAATGAGGTGGGTTGTTCAGACGGAAAAAAAAATGGGTAAATATAAATTATACAATATAACAAAAAGGAAACAATAAAATATAGTACATTAATTGTCTTAATGAATTATCCTTCAACTTTAAAGTGCCTTCTCTTCTCACAAATCAATTCCTGTTTTAAGGCCAAATTAAAAATAAAACATTAAATTGGACAGATAGAGAACATGTACCTGGAACCACCATGACACTTTTAAACTGTACAGTACAGCTTCCTTGTCCTCCTGATCGTGTTGTGACTATCACATCTCCTTTCCCTGGTGGAGCCTTTCCAGTCCTTGCTATGATTTTGCTGGCTGACTTGTAGTCAGCTGACAGCAGACAATTGGCACCACAAATAGTCAGACCTGATGACATAAAAAATCAGTCAAGGTAAATATTTAATACTCTCTAATTTAGTGATTTTATAACTAATAAACTGATGCTGTATCTTCTTATCACAACTTCTTGTTTGCATCCTGAGTAAAAGCCAGAATGCTTCCACACTTTACAGCCATGTTTTTTTACAACCAACCTATCAATATCATTTGCAATGGAGACAAAATGAGCGTGATTTTCTTATTTTTGAAGAATAGATTATCCATTTATTTGGGAGATCTAGCCAACAGTACAGGAAACTTCAAGTTTATTAACCATATGCTGGAGACAGCAGGCTATTCTGGGAGAGAATAAAGGGGTAAGTTTCTAAGAAACTGTGGTGCTGCGTCGGTGGGAGAGTATAGCAGGTAATTTAGTGTTAACAACTGGGTTGAAAACGTAAATTAGCCACCGTTTCACTCTTTACGGTGGCTAATTTACGTTTTCAACCCAGTTGTTAACACTAAATTACCAGCTATTCCGGGAGAGGTCACATAAAGATTGTATGTTCCTTCACCCCAGCAATGTAACCACAGTAAAGGAGGAGCAAGCACCGACATTGCATTTATATTTTTGCAAGATGAAATTTCAGAAAAAATTTGCGACTGATTTCCTATCAAACTCAGAAAAACTAAGGAAATATCTTTACAAAGATTTCCTGATCAGACATATAAAGCACCTGGGTCAGTACATTTAGCTGACGAACCTGTCACATCTTTCGCGTTGACACCGAGGTGTTCTCCACGAATGATCACCTTAGTTCCAGGTGGACCCTCTGCAGGAGAGATTCCAGTCACTACTGGAGGCGGTCTCATCTTAATATTTCTCTGAAGCTGGGAAACAGAGCAAAGTATTACACTAACTTCCTCTCCCTGAACTGTTTTTCCGCCATGTTGACAAGATAGCCAGCGATCCTTTGAGCAGCGTACGTAAGTAAAAAATGAGAAGAATACAAGTAATTTACTTGAGGTGTGTCATGACCACATCGCCAGTGAAACAGCAAACTTACTGTAGCTTTACTTTTTATCAAATAAGAGTTCGATCTCGTGTGGTATTATCAGTTAGGGGCTTTAAATGAAAAATCAAGCATCGTTTCACATAATTTCTTTCGTACTTTGTCTTTCTTCTGGAAATGAGGGAGTAATTTTATGTGCATTGAAATCATACTCGGTGTCCTAACAGATTTAGACCCTCCCCCCCTGATTACGACCCCCAGTCCAAATCCACTTGTGCATATAGACCCCCCCCCGGTCCAAATCCGCTAGCGGAACTGGCATGCAATGGAAATGGAAATGGTAAATGACCCGGCGGATGTTTCTCAGTGTAAGCATTTAGTTTAATGTTTAGAGAAAGGAATTTTTGAACCTTATCCCAGCTAGACTCAATACGAGACAAACTTGTGACATTAATTTATTTTGTTATTGTGCAATGCCCAAGTGTTGGGACGACATTGAATAATGCGGGTTGTGCGAGGAATGGTTGCACGTGAGCTACAAGGGATTCAAGACTGACCCGGAGGGCGAGTGGCTCTGCATTGTCTGCAGACCGCCAGACTCAAGACGTCTTCCTAATTGTTAATGTGTTATTTTGGACCCCTCAACAGTTAGAAATTAATCGTTAAAATTAGAAAATAAGACTGTGTTCGATGTAATAGTCTCCACTTTTGTAAAGACGTAGACATTAATGTTGATTTCCATGTGAAAATAAGCTGAGAGTTCCAATAGTTCAGAATAAAAAAATTTTTACTTATCATAGGCTTTATACGAACGACCTGTCGTAGGAGTAGTTACTTCGTTCTTCTTCAGAAACTGTGTAATATTTAATTAGAATATCAGATTGAGTTATTTTTGTGACTGGACGCAATAGTCTCCACTATTGTTATGACGTTCCGTATCTATGTTGATTCGCATCAGAAGAAGAAAATATTTATTGTAGCAATCCTAATAGTTCGAATGCAGTGGTTTGTTCGCATCTAATTCTTGCGTATACTGTACGACTCGCTTTAATAAATGCGGCAGAATTGGAACGAAGTGGCTGTTTTTTCTTTACTTTCATTGAGGAATGTTGTGTTTTGACTGAGAAGAACATCGATGAAAATTAGCTTGCAGATAGAATTCGTTATCAAATATGACACAAACGATGCCAAAAGGAAAGTTTGGTTAGGGGGTCCAAATCTGCCAAGGGGGATCCATTGCCATTAGCGGATTTTGACCGGGGTCCAAATCCCCGGGGGCCCAAATCTGCTGTGACACCGGAACGAAGTCAGATATAAGCCAAACTTTCCCTGTGAGGGCACCTTTATTTGATATGTTTGTCACATAAGGAGAAATAAAATTGCAATTTGCGAGTAAAAACATCTAAAGGAAAAATTTTAGCTTCCTCCGTCTGGTCTTATTTTTCCCACCCCTCTCCACTTAAAAATGAAATGGTTCACCCGCTGAGACTGTATCTCGCTTCGCTTCCTACTTCCTGTTTTTCCCGGAAAAGTTTCATCATCCTTTGCCAAGAAACGGGTGATTTTGTGAGGTTTATCTGACTTTGTCCCCATTTTCCGAAAGTGTTCAAAAGCACGATATTCCATTGAATACGGTAGACCATGGAAACTGAGAGATGAAAAGTCAAACTTTAATTCAAAAGATCGATTTTCCCAAAATACTGATGAATGCTCTTGTAAGGTGGGTAAACGCGAGCAAGGTTTGTGGTCCACGTAGTTTTGCCCATAAAGTTTTCCTATCAAGATACTTAATTTAGTCAAATTTGAATCACATTTAAAGGACTAAGTTAAATGAACAATAATCTTTTGTTTCTTGTGAAGTGTGGTTGGGTGTAAACATGTTTTCTTTAATTTAGACTAACACCGCTCGAAGCAAAAAATTAGTTTCATTTGGTTTAGGTAAATACTCTAGTCATGTCTAACAACGTGTATTGGACCATCACAATAACCACGTTTGCTCCAGACTTCCTTATTGTCTCATTACTTGAATTGACATTTATGTATTTAATTTTTTGTATTCAGTGTTGTACATAATTATAATTATAAAATAATTCAAATAGTATGCGCGCTCTGATTGGCCATAAAACCATTTTACATGAGCGTATGTAAACACGGTTTTCGTTCCTCTTTCATTAGTTATTTTATAAAAGAAATGTAAAATGGTTTCCGTGTTTACATAGCCTGATGTAAACACGCGGGAGGTTGAGAGAACACGAGATAAGCGTAGGAAACCACGACGCGAAGCGGAGTGGTTTCCAGCTTATCGACAAAATGAAAATCTGTAACTTGCGAAGTGAATTTCAATCTCTGAATATGAATCTAGACATTGATAACTGAGAGGTTTGACCTGGGTATTGAAGTGTGGACATCTTGTATTCTGCAGCATACACCTTTATTGATATCTGACAGGCTATACCAGCAACTAAACTACTTGCTATATCTAGTTACAAGCTCAGCTTTTATAGGTACGGTTGAGGATCCAGAACGTTCCGTAACATTACAACAGATTCTACTTATATATTGATTTAGGGATGACTCAGCATGACACAGATACTTCTAGAACATTCTTGAGGGTCACACTACATCCTCTCTTCTTTACAAAGACTGACGAACAATTCAATAAGGAAATCACAAGAAATCACATTGCCTATTGCAGTCTGTTAAATGTCTCTAAGGTTATTTAAACAGAACAAAGTCTTTATACTTTGAGTTTGGCTTGACTTGTCTCTGTGATCTTCTTACCCCTTGTTGAACCGGTACTGGTTCTGATTTTGATTTATTTTTCATGTCAATCAACTGCATTTGTCCTGTTTCATTGTTGACTCCAGGTAATTCTATGGACTTTGGCTGTGGGGCAGTTGGCAAGGCTGCACCTGACTGTGTGGGTGGGCCCACAGGAAAGTCGAAAGAAGGGTCTGTAACAATGACTTTGGGCATTGTCACTTCTCTAGTTTTCCTGATGTGACACCGATTCCTCCTGTACTCATGGCCATCGGCCTTCACTATGTAGGATCTGTCAGATTCTCTTCTGACCACACTTCCTTGTGTCCACAGGGGTGACGACTGAGGCCTGATCTTGGTGTGAATACTATCTCCTATAACAAGAGGGGGTAGTGGCTTTGCTTTCATATTATGGTACCTCTTATTCTGTTGCTTCTTGACTGAAGCACATATGATCCTTGAGGTTGGTATCATGTGGGGTTCAAGTAAATCTGATTTCACTGTTATAACTGTTCTTGTTCTTCTGGAATTCAATTTTTCATTTGGTGATGCCAACTCATCAGTTGCATTCCTTTGTTCCAAAATAGCCATCCAGGGGTCACGACTCATCTTGAGTATCCTTTTAGCTTGTTTGACTGCAGCTTCCAATTTACTGTTTCCTTTTGAATGGCATGGCAAAGATTTAAAGTGATGAAAGTCCCAACTCTCTTAGGGTTGGGCAAAAATCTCTTTCATCTGTAAGATTGTGGACTCAGCATCAGTATCATTCAGTTGCTCTAAGTCCCAGTATTTTGTGAGATTATCCACAACTACCAAGTAGACGTCTCTCTTCACATTGAAAAGATCAGTACTGACTATTTGCCATCTTCTCTTTGGAATAGGCTGGCTCTGCATGGTTTCTCTAGGTTGATCTGGCTTAGCTTCCTGACATATTGAACAGTTATCGCAGAGATATTTGATATCATGATGAATCGATGGCCAATACAATGTATCTCTTGTGAGTCTCATGCATCCCTCTGCTCCTAGGTGAGTGGAGTGTGTTTTTTCTAACATCTGTGGGTGCATAGCCATGGGAATGAGCACTCTCATTCCTCTGTAGATTATTCCATCCTGAACTACTACTTCATCTCTATATGGCTAGTAGTCTCGGACATTGGGCAGTACTTGCGTCTTGTCCTCAGGCCATCCGTTAGCTATAATTTCAGCTAAGGTCATGAGATTTCTGTCTTTAGAGGTTGCTGTTGCTACTTTCTGAAGGGTTGCATCTGTCATGTTATGAAAGATAATTGGATCTATTGCTTCGATCTCTTTCATGAGAAGTTCTTCTGCGTGAATTGTAAAGACTTCATGATCATCTACTTCCTTCTTTTGCATTCAACTGTTTGGGAGGGCAGATCTTGACAGATGATCACTTATGTACATCTGAGTTCCCTTTTTGTACACAATATTCAGGTGGTACTTTTGCAGTTGTAGCATCATGCCTTGTAACCTCTTGGACACACTGTTGATACTTTTGGCAAGTATGGTTTCTAGAGGCTTATGATGTGTGACTGCTGTGATCTTTTCTCTTCCATGGAGATAGTGGTCAAATTGTGTATGACCAAACACCAGTGTAAGGCATTCCTTCTTGATCTGAGAGTAACATCTCTCAGTCTCAGTCATAGTGCAACTAGCAAATGCCACTGGTCTGCTGGCTTGAAGAAGAACAGCTCCTAGTCCGTAGTCACTTGCATCTGTCTCAATCGTTACTGCTTCCTCCAGGTCATGGTAACGGAGTAGTGGCAGTTCTGAAATCAGCTGAGTCAACTTGTCAAAGGCATCTTGGTGAACTTTTAACCAAATGAATTGGTTTTGCTCTTTGGTTTTTCTCCAAGTAGTCTTCTTACTTCAGTCTTACTGCATGGTCTCAGCATCTCAGTGATGGTTTCAACTTTGGCTGGGTCTGGTAAAATACCCTCAGAAGACAAGATATGGCCACAGTACTTCAACTTCTGTTGTTTGAAGACAAACTTGTCCTTGTTCAGTTTGACGTTTCGCTCCCTGCATCTCTGTAGCAACGCAATCAGATTTTTGTCATGGTCTGCCAAGGCTTCTTCATGGGTGTTTTCTGCTCTAGTTACTGACAGGTCATCAGCTATAGCAGTTACTCCTTCCAGGCCCTAAATGGTTTCATTTACATGTCTCTGAAATTCTTCTGGTGCACTACATATGCCGAAGGGCATCCTAAGCCATTTGTATCTACCAAAAGGAGTGTGAAATGTTGTTAACAGGCTAGAGTCCTCATCTAGCTTTCGATTGTAGAAACCCATCTTTAGCATCCAGGACTGTGAACACTTGTGCTTTAGTAAGCCTGGAGGTCACATCATCAATGGTTGGAAGGCAGAGCTTTGGTATTTTGACATGCTTTATCAATTCTCAGGGATCTAGGTAAACATGTAGTTGGCCATTGTGCTTCTTCACATATACTGCACTGCTCACCCAGTCTGTTGGTTCATCAACTTTTGCTATGTGGCCTTTCTGCTCCATTTCATGAAGTTTCTTCTTGAGATCATTTCTCAGTGCGATGGGTACGGTTCTAGGCGAATCTTGTTTCGGTACTGCTCCTTCTGTCAGTTCGATCTTGTAATTTCCAATGTACCCTAGCCCAGTGAACACATCGTATTGTTCTTGTAAAATAGCATCCTTGCTCAACCCTTTCAGGTCAGAAACTGAGTTAATGAGTAATTCTTTTGTTATAGACAGGTGTTCCAACTCCTCACATGTTTTTCCTGATAACAGTGAACTTGGAGCATCATCAATCACTAAGAATTTTGCTCTGGTTAATTTTCCTCCAATCTGGATGTCAAGGTAGACTTCACCTTTGGGAAACACACGTTCTCCATTGTTTGCTTTCAAAATGGCACAAGTTTTCTTCAAGTCTGGTTAGTTTGAATATTTACAAAATCCGCCATTCTCAAGCAATTAGCCTATTGCTATCAATCTGCATGGCTACCTCAATCCAATTTCTTGTCTGTCCACTTCTTAGCTGAGGTTGAATCATGTAAACTATTTAGAACGGCTGTAGGGAATTCCCAAGGGCAATCTACAAAATATTTTACTGCCAATCAGGGCTGGCTATTTTTAACATGTTTGCAGGAACTTACAGCTGTCAGGGAAACCTGAGAAATGCTTGGGGGAGGCTAGCATTCCATTTAAGGGGAAGGGGAAGCAGTAGCACCCCTTAAAGTTGTTTTCTCTATGTAAATTAGAATTAGCTCTGACAGTCTGATCTATGATCATTGCTTTAACAGGATTCAATCTTAACTAAACTCATCATGTATTTTGATACCTCCACTTGTTGGTACCGGGTTTACCTGAAGGATACTGAGTTAATTTTTCTTAGTTAGTATTAAGGAGTTTTCAGGTTGCAAAAATCATGGCCATGCATCCTCAACACAACTTTACCTGCACACGGAGTACTTGTAAAATTTAAAAGGCAGTATGGGAACTTGCAGTAATAACTTTCATTTATGAAAAGGGGCTGTCAAGTTTGTAACAAGTTGCATGTTGACCTTCAGAAGCATTTTATAACTACATGTATGTTATGATTTTGGGTGAAGCCTTTTGGAGCTACTTTTATCAAAAATAAGTTTCGGAACCTAAATAATGTTACAGTTGTCGTTTGCTTTCACCAGTGTTTAAAGACTGAAAATACGAAAATTAAAAAAAATTGCCATACTTGCCAAGATTATTGAAAACAAAATTGCAATTACCTTATGAACCTCAATATTTCTTTCAAAACAAGCTTTATCTATCAGCACACATTCTGAAAAGTATTGTTAACCATCGGTCCATTTCGTCAAAACATTCATGCAGCCTGGAGAATCGTGAAAGAAGTACGTTGTTCGACGAGAAGAGATACTCCCAAAATTGATCTCATTCCATGGAGGCTGAAAACCATTTATAATTATATAATAAGCTCAGTTATGCACGCATTCTGATTGGTTCTCACTTATGATCTATTGGAGGACAGGCGTTTAGATGACGTCATCATTAAAACTTTTTAAAATTCTTTATTATATAAAACAAATAGATTCCAAGTTGCCGTGCGTCTGTTCAGTAATAGATCACAGAGGACGTCAAAATGTGGTAAGAACATCAGTGACACATTTTGACGTCATCTGTGATCTATTACCGAAGAGACGCACGGCAACTTGGAATCTATTTGTTAAATGTAGTACTGTCGTGAAAAAATGTGACCTAATTTTGTCCACTTCCCAAATTGGACGGTTCCCCATTAGACTGACGGTTATTAAAGAAAATTTATGTTAATTTGCGTTTGTGTTTGTGACCTTCTCTGCTCTTAATTTCCTTGCTTTTAACTTTCAGGTGTTGTCCTTAAAAAAAGGTCACGTGTTCGAAAGCAACAATCTAGCTACCGCACAACTGCAGACTCTTTCCCTTTGAAAGAGGAGAGAGATCATATAGAAAGGTGAATGTGCTGACGGGAGCGATAAGCAACGCGATTTCCCTACAAGAAAAATCGCTTTGACTTACCAAAATGTCTTCAGGGGGAGCTCTACATCAAGAGGAAAGTAGCAACATATCTGACAACGAAGGAGGGAGCAGTGTTAGTGTCGATTTGGATTCTGATTGCTGTCACCAAAATGAAGATCAGTTAGGTGCAGCCAAGTGTCCTGTGCACGAAGATCGTACTGAGTTTAGTCGATCCTCTTTTGGTTCACCAGATGACGAATCACACCTCCCCACAGTGGACGAAGGAACGAAATCTTCTAGTCATGGGGAAGAAATTAGAAGAAAGGAAAGTCATAGATCTGCATCCGTTTCTGGACATAGCGCATTGAAGAGTGACTGTAAACATGTAGGCGCACGTTCTTTTCCTAGACGAGGAAGTGACGACGTTCCATCTTTACAGCAAAAGAGTCACAGAAGGGATGCTCCAGGAAAATCAAAGAAAACCACTAGCAAACATTCTGGTGACACTCCAGTGACTCCAAAGCGTGGAAGGGATCTTGAATACAGAGATAAGACATACAACCAACCTAAAGAAACTAGAAAACCTTTTAGAAGTGAAAGAGACAAGAAAGTTACTGCTCCATCTTTGGCTGAACAACCCTGTCGTTTGGTCATCAAACCTCCCTCAGAGCTCCCTGTCAAAAAAGATGTCGTGACACTCTACCTTAAAGAATGTCTTGGTGACGAGATCACGTTTTATCACGAGGAAACTAAGAAAACTGATGGTGGGTGTCTCGAATTTACATTTGTCTTTCAGAATAATGAGCAAGGAAGAAGAGCTGAACTGATCCTAAAAGAAAACATCAGAGAAGTTGGAGAAAAAATTGAAGTTTCTATTCTCACGGAAGAAGCGCGTACCGACATGATTTTGGACGAGTGCTTAGCAGAACTTCAGAAAAAGATGACAGCAATCGAAAAGCAGCATACAGTTAAGATAGAGAAAATCAGTCGTCACATTAAGGGTCTTCGTGTGCAAAAGCACATAGCTTTAAATGAATTTAAAAAAATATTCTCGGAGAGAAAAGTCCTGGAACACAAGAAGGAGGAACTTGAATCACAGCTCCGAGAATTTCAACGTTTTGAACTTATCACAAGATCTACTGTGGACGCCCAAAGACGGCTGCCACCCTCCTGTGTTGAGCCTACGGTGAAGAAACTAAGGGAAGCATTTGGTAGAGAATGTCGTAGGATCGAAGCAGCCCTACCAATGTACGCAAAAAAAACCGAAATTGTTCAGCTCATAGAGAAAAATCAGGTCTGCGTTATTCTTGGAGAAACCGGATCAGGTAAAAGTACACAGATGACCCAATATTTGTACGAGGCTGGTTTTGCTGAGAAGGGTTTAATCGTTTGTACCCAGCCACGTAAAGTTGCTGCGACAAGCTTAGCATCCCACGTCGCTCGAGAAATGGGGAGCACTGTTGGAAAAGTAGTGGGCTGCCGTGTTGGAGGAAATGTTCAAACAAGTAAAGAGATGACTGGTATTGTGTACGTTACAGACCACATTCTTCTCAATGAGTGCCTAAAGGATCCTGAGCTGTCCAAGTATTCTTGCATAATAATTGATGAAGCACATGAACGAAGTCTTTACTCGGACCTGCTTCTTGGCATGATCAAGAAAAGCCTTATTCAGCGTCCTGAGCTGCGAGTGGTCATAACCTCAGCTACCATTGATCCTGCTATCTTCGTGGCATATTTTGACCAATGTCCAGTACTGAAAGTGTCCGGCAGAATGTTTCCCGTCGATGTAATTTGGAAAGATGGTCCGTCTTACAACGTTGAAAATTATCTTCAAGAGGCTGTAAAAACAGCTCGCGAAATTCACCACAGGGAGGATCCAGGGGACATTCTTGTGTTTCTGACTTCTCCAGCAGAAACGGAACGTGCTTGTGAAATGTTAACAAAGGTTGAGCGGGATGCTAACCTAGTTTGTCTTCCTCTCCATGGAAAGCTACGTCAAGAAGAGCAAAAGAAAGTGTTCGAAGAAGACGGAGACAAACGTAAGGTGGTATTTGCTACCAACTGTGCGGAAACCTCCATCACCATTCCTGGGATAAAGTATGTAGTGGACACTGGTATGATGAAGGAAATGAAGTTCGAACCGAAACGCAACAAAAGTTCTTTAGAGGTAACAACCATAAACAAAAGTTCCGCTGAACAGCGAAAAGGAAGGGCAGGAAGGACACAAGCAGGGAAGTGCTTTAGACTCTACAGCCAAGAGGAGTACAAGGCAATGGAAGACCAATTAAAACCAGAGATCCTAAGGGTTCATCTTGGCCATGCCGTGCTGAAGCTGATGGAACTCGGCATTGAAGATGTCAGAGACTTTGATTTTGTGGAATCGCCATCTTTTGACTCAATAACCCTTGCATTAGAGTTGTTGAATTCTCTTGGTGCGATAACAAACGGAAAACTTACACAGTTGGGAGGCAAAATCGCTCGTGTTCCGGTAGAGCCACGCTTGGCAAAGGTCATATTTGAAGGCATTGAAAAAGGTGTAGGTGCGGATGCGTTAGCGTTGGCAGCCATTGCAACTGCAGGTGGGAGCGTTTTCTTCCGCATGGGAAGCGAAGAGGAGAAGCAGGCAGCTGACAGCAGAAAAGTATGTTTCTGCCTGAATGGTGGAGACCTACTGACGTTGTTGGAAGTGTACAGGCAATACCTCAAGCAACCGAAAGATTTACCCAAACGAAAAAAGTGGGCGGTTGCTAACAGCTTAAACGCTAAGTCACTTCGCATGACAGACGAGACCATCAAAGAGCTAAAGCTGACGTTAAAGCATGAATTGGAGATAACGATCTCGGATACGTTGCAGCAAGACGAGAACACTGATGTGATACTTCAAAAGATTTTGTTGTCTTGTTATGCCACCAACTTATGCGTATTTACTGGCCACGAGAAAGCAGGATACAGAGTGTTGTCTTCAAACCAGTGTGTTCAAGTGCATCCATCGTCAGCACTCAAGTTTCTCGGGGCAACACCTCAGTTCATCGTCTTTGACCAACTGCTCAAAACGTCTCGTGACTTTGTCGTCAACGTTACCCCTGTGGAGGAGACGTGGCTCCGGGAAATGATTTCAACAGGAGCTCTCAAGTATGACTTGGAGAACCTATTGTCGACTGTGTTGACCGAAATGGCATTGCCATGCAGTCCAGAACTTATGAAATTAACGTTTGGAGGTTACGGAAGAAAAAAAGTTGATCAAATTGAGGAAAAAGTTTCGAAGTCATGCGATGACAGCTTGGTTGTGTTAGAGGAGGACAAAAAGTGGGGACAAATAAAAATCTTCGTTCCTCCAAGGTACGCAGTGAAAGCCCTGTCAATGATGGGAAGTATCATGGAGGAAAGCAGAAAGATACTGAGGAGTGAGGAAAGAGAAGAGCCACTGAGGGAAGAGTCCCCAGGAAGTAGAATGGTTTGGGGACAAGGCGGTGAAATACGGGAGTTGCTGATGCTGGACATGTACAGGACTGTCACAGTTGGTGAGATAGAAGATGGCTACTCAGCGGCTGTTTTAGACCACCTTGCATCCTTCGGAGACATAGTGAAACATAATTTTAGGGAGCAGAACGGCAAGATGCGAGTCTTTGTGACTTATAGGGATTCACAGGATGCGCTAATGGCAGTGAACAGCCCTTCCAATTCCTGTTTAGATATCAACATAAAAGTCCAGCCGAGTAACTCGACAGGCGATGGTAACCAAACACGTTTTTCTCAGTTTAAAGTGAAAGTTAAGTGGCTCAGACGTCCAGGCAAAGGCACAGGATCAGTGCAATTCTTCAATGGCGAAGACTTCTTTTACACGCTCGGAAGAATACCCTCGCTGATTATTAAATCCAAAAGGGTGATATTTAAAGCCGACAAAATTCACAATCAACAGATATTCATGAGAGGACTCCACCCTGAAACATCAGAGGAGGATGTGATATCTGCTATCGAAGAGAAGCTTCCCACAGTAAAAGTGATGAAAGTTTTCATCCACCGAATAGCAGAGTTTGAAACAGCGGATGAGACTCTTGTAGAACAGAAGACTCTCTTAGAAGAAAGTCTCAGCGGCTTCGCCGTACAAGGTGATTTCTCAGTCTACGTAGGAAAACCTTCCACGAAATCTTTTGAGGGATACGCCAACCTGACGTTCCAAAACCCCGAGGAGGGTGAAGCCGCCATAAGAGGTCTTAATGGAATGAACATCCCAGGCATTGGTGTGGTAACCCTGCATCCTAACCTTTCAACTGTGTTGTCATGTGCCAGGAATGTTTACGCAATCATAGAGGATGAGTTCAAAGAAACTATCAGCGAGTTGGAATCAACCTTTGAAGCAAATTTGATCATTAAGGTAAAAAAAAAACCCACAGACCAGCGTGTTTGGATAGAAATTCAAAGTAAGTCTACGAAACACTTCATATCTGCTACCACTGTTCTCACCGAAATTTTCAATGGGGATAAAATTGACTGCAAGATTTCTAAAGACCTGGAGATTCTTTTGACTAACTCAGCGAAAGACGTTCTTCGAACAATTCAGAAAGACACTGGAACTGTAATCAGTCAAGATTGGAAGAACCAGGCTGTTAGAATTCATGGACCCGAAGCCAACCGAGAATCAGCAAAACGAGCTATAAACAAGTTTCTCGATGATTCCATCACTGGCAATCGCCACTCTTGGCAGATTCAACTTCGAGGACCAAACAAGCCCCGCGGACTGCTGAAAGCTCTGTTTAAAAGGTTTGGCGCCAATCTTCAAGGATTACGAGACATTAATGGTGTCCAGAAGATCCATGTTGAATTTAGAAACCACGTACTCAAGATAGAGAGTTCAGATGAGGCTGAAGAACTAATCAACAGCTATGTGGAGGAATGCAGCAAAAATCTTTCCCAAGAATTGTTTCCTTTGCAACAAGACCATCGAACACAGTTAACCTGTGGTATATGCCTATGCGACTTGGATTCTACAGCAGATGTATACAGACTTGCCAGCTGCGGTCACGCGTACGACAAGAGCTGTGTTATCCAACAACTCAAATCTCCAGACTTTCCGTTGAAGTGTGTCGTGGAACAGTGTGGAGAGCGTCTTGTATGGAAGGATTTGCAAAACTTGTTGAATGACCGCGAAAGGAAGAGGCTCGCTTTGACCGCTCTAGATGAGTATGTCAAAAGAAATCCTGAAATTGTGAAGTACTGTCCAACGGCGAACTGTGGCATGGTATACCGCGTCTCAACTAATGGGAGATCCTTCACCTGTGATGCATGTCTGGCTCAGACCTGCACATCTTGTCACGTGCAATGGCACGATGGGCTCACTTGTGCTATGTTCAAATCAGAGAAGCAAGTAGAGGGACGTCTCGTGGAGTGGATGATGAAGGACCCAAGCAATAGAAAGAAATGTCCCAAATGCAAGGCACCGATTGAGAAGAATCAGGGATGTAATCACATGGAGTGCTCACAGTGCAGAAGCCACATGTGTTGGCTGTGCCTGCAGGTGTTTCCAACCGGGAACGATGTGTACGATCATCAACGACACTGTCCCAATAAGACTGCAGCATGAGTTCAATACTGCCTGTACAGACATACCCTCAATAATAAAAGTCATAGGTTGATGTGCTAATGTAACTAATGTTTTGAACTTTGTCCGTTGAGGACAATAGTTTAGATGGCTTTTAAATTTCCGAAGCATAGCGAAAATGGACAAGTTTCAATTAACAGGAAGGGTAAAGTAGAAAATGACACTTAAGTAACTCACGTGTAAGCAAATGAGTTAAGAATGTTTGAAGATTTTAATAATCCTGCCATCAAAACCCGTCTGACCAAAAAAACCTGTCTATGTTTTTTTGAGAGCGATGTAGCTCACTGTACCCACAATGTTTAGGTAGCATCCCACTTAGTGCTTTTCCCTCAATAAAGTGCAGCTTTATTGTTTACCTTTAAATTTCAAGTTGTTGATAACTAAAATGGTTTCCTCGTCAAGCTCTTTTTTCCCTTAAAGTACAACTGATTTACTATCGCTATTAGCTGGATGAATTGCAACCAAGCAAAAATTATCAGCGTCATATGAATACATTTTGTAAACAGACGTTTTCAGTAACACAAATATTCGTCTAGATATATGCAGGTAATTTTATCGGTCTTGTACCCACCATGACAATTAAATAAAAACTTTGTCAAGAAGGTGAATGTCGTTTCTCATGAAAATGATTTTTAACTAGTTTTTCAATCACTAAAGTCATCAGCAGTAAGTAGGGTGGCCTGAGCCTGGAGGGTATGGGGAGGGTGAGAGGATTTTATTGAATGGGGTCACATGGTCTTCAAGAGGATGGGAGGAGGTATCAGTCGTCGCCAACATAGTACAAATGGGAGCTATAAAAAAACTGACTGCCAATTAAATTCCAATGAGGATGGGATTATCAGCAAAATCTTACTGCGACGCAAACAAAATCCTCCGCTCCTCCTCCCACCCCAAAAAAAATAAACACGACTACAATATACCAAAATAAAACAAAACAAACCAGGCGATACATAACGAACCGTCTCTGAATGGATAAAAATTGCATAATATTAACCATCATTTGTGAGACACTCATAAACCCAAAGTGATAATCACGTTATAGCTTTGTTGGCCAGAATCAAGGATCCTTTAGATCATTTCCTCAGTCGGGACTAGCTCCTGTTTAGAAATAGGTAGCGGTGTCTGTCCAGTCATTTAATTTATTTTTCTTTCAAGAATGCAGCCTCGTTATCAAAATCTCGACTATTTAATTCTGTACGTTTTCAGTGTTTTATTAAACGGTTTCCCTTTTGGTTGAAAGTTTTGTTAAATACAGCAGAATATACTGGAAATATTGTGCCATCCATAGCAAAATAACGCAATAGAATTAAATATTAAAAATACATCATCTAATAGGCCAGTGACTAGAACAGGAATAAGATCCATCGTGGGCTTACTTTTTAAAACCACATTTTAAACCTTTCACAAAGTTTACTTTGGTTGAGAAATGTGATGTAATTCGATGAAGTCAAAACACCACTACTGCATGTAAAGTTTGGAAAACTGCTCAAAATTGTTGCGTAAGTGAGACCTGACATAACCCGACCAGTTAAAGAAAGAATGCTCTTTACTGATGAGTGATTATAAGTTTCTCGTTCGTGATGATTCTTGAAGAAATGGTTTTGATTTCCCACACGTATTTGATCGTATTTGTTTATGGAGTTAGGTCGCCCCCTGGTTGGAACTTCGAAAATTGAATCATTTCTGTGAAAAATTCGATAAAGAAAAAGCTTTCAAAATCCTTTTAGTCAAAAAAGCATTTGATTAGGTGCAAGCGAGGGTAAAATAAGATGGTACACAGCCGTAAACAATAGGTTTTCCTTAATTTGGGAGTCTTAAATATGCTGTGTTCCAAGATACAGATGTCCCCTATGTTCCATAGTTCAATACCACAACAGAACATGAACCGAAATTTAGATCAACCTTTGTGAGAGACCGCGGAAGCCTGACATTTGGTACAGCCGACCGTTTCTTTTTATTTAAAGTTACTCGAGTGAGTGTTTGTCACAGCAGAGGGGTAGGACAGTTCAAGACTAAGGTTAGTGTTGGGTGACGAATTGTGCCTTGCGTCTTTCAAATTTGCTGAGAATGTTCTATGGAAAATTATGGAAAGGAATAATTTTTTTCGTGTAATCTCGCTTAGGCGACTAAAAAAACGGTTCCATCTTTAGTCGATCAGTTGCATCAAACAGTGTTGCCACAGATAAGCAGAAAATAAGCCTAAGTTCAGGCCCACAGGTCATTGGGTTGTTAACAATTAACAGAAAATATTAAACCAATGGAGGTATCCGTTATAACACCGTCAGATGTTATAACGGATACTGTTATAAAAAGAAAGACTGTGACCCGAAGTTTATGATTCGGAACGAGAAGTCACTCTTCTCTTTTTTGGACAAAAAAGAGTAAAGAGGCCAGACTTTTGGGTTTGATCATCAGTCACCTCGATAATTGACTGATTTTTTTTTTTTTTTTTTGCTAATTTGTTTGATTAGTTGTATTTCTTCCCATTACTGAAGTTTGAGCCTGACACTTATGAAGAGAAATACAAGAACAAGAACGAAACAAAACTTTCCAAGTTTTAAGTGGCGCTCTTTTTCTTTGCTTGTATGGTTTTCAAACTAATTGCTTGTTTCATCAATAAATCAGCTCGAGAGAATATTGTGTCTTCAGGTTATGGCAAACTCGCGATTAGCTGCCATTATCAACTAACGTGTGACAGGAATAAAAATTGTTTGAAATTGGATGATTGTGTGACGTTGAGTTGGACGTGACGCAAGTGGCGTCTTTTTGGTCAATTCTCGCGGGTAACAGTAGCGTAGTTGAGCTCCGCTCACAAGCCCCAAAAATGGAACACAAGAAAAAAGCGAGTCATAAATTCGAATTCGAGAGAGTTAAAATTTCACGATCTAGTGCTCTTCCAAAAATGAACCTTCAGTCTGAGAAGTTGGTGAGATAGGTCATGTTAATAATGTCAGTTTTGGAGAGATCATCGTTTCAATTTGTCGATCTGGGTTCTCCTCCGGTTTCGACAGAATTTTTTTGTTTTTAACCGTGAGTTTGTTGAACAACTGAGATTCTCCAGAGGAATGAGAAAAAATTTTTTTTGTTTGTTTTCAAGTTCCTGTGAAAGCGGGAGTTGGTGCGGGGGAACCAGCGGACTGATGGGCAGACTGTGAAACACAACCATTTCGAATTTGAGTTAAATTTTGGTTATGACAACTTTTTGGGTCATCTCAAAATTAGCTTGTAGAGAAGCGCTTTTTCTTTGCGTTCTGCAATCGAACGGAGGCAGGCACGAGGCGGCGCTAGGCGCGAGTCAAGCGCGTGAATCGCGCTCGCCTGAAGCTTGTCTCCGTTCGCCTGTAAAACACGAAAAAATTACGCCTGTTCGGCAAGCTAATTTAAAAACATCTTTTTTCTGTAGAGAAAGGTGTTTTTCGTCATGTCACGAACGTGTGAGTCTCCATGAGGAATCGAACCTCAGAGCTCCGATACTCTACCACTGAGCCACAGAGACTCTTCTGTGAGCGAGGTTTATTACGAAGTCCAGATGAAACGCGTCCTGCATACTGCTATGATCAGCAGTGTCGACAGTGTCATTTTTGTAATTAGGATAAGAGAGATGTAAGTTTTGAGCTCGGTAAAGAAATAGAGAATGATGTTTTTCGTCTTGTCACGACCATGGTATAACAATTGTCACGTTCTGCGTGACACTTGTTGTGTGCGCGTGTCTTCGCCAACATACGCCCGAGGAACTGGTAACTACACTAAGGCTTCGCTTGAGGTTTTTTCAAAAAATGGCGCTTAGAATTACGGAACCGTGGATCAGGGAACGTGTCAAGTTAAAACATGATCATTTAGGTATGATGTCTTTACAGATGCTCCATTTTCTCCATGAAATTGTTTTCTCCCCTTTTTCCACTCTTGATCTTTCGCGAAGTCGTTAGCAATGACGGTTTTCTCCTGATTTGCTCGTGCATTCCAACGGAGTTGTGTCAATGTTTTGTTTGTTCTGTACGTTGCAGGAATGTTGTGGTGCAGTACCTCATAGATTCATCTTAGCTAATATTCATCACCTCCGTATCATGTCAGTCAATCTTTGGTAGTAATAACTGCCTTTGTTTTAGGGATTGTATTGGCAAAGCTTTATGTGAATGTATGAAGGTTTCCTCCAACTTCATTGGGTTTCCGAAACTTGACTTTCGGAGCTCGGGAGCTGCGTTGTAAATTGCTTCTTCAGGTTTTCTAATCCATTTCCTTGCAATCAGATACGACTCTTGGTGAAAGTTCTTTTCATCCTTGCTCTTATTAAGTCATAGAAAATACTGATATGGGCGCCTATTCGAGGAATTACAGTATTTAACCTTTCACCTTAAAGTTGAAAATGTAATTATAGGGTAGAGACGTATGGAGAATCCTTCAAGAATTTATAAGTTTATATTGATGCATCTAAAAGCTTAAGATGTTTTCTGACAGAACTGAGGTTTCTGTTAATTACCTCAATCAACCCCTTTTCCTAAAATCACACCAAACATTTCTGCTCATTAAAATGCTTACAATGGACTTGCCAACTCCCTTGATAGAAAAACATCAATATTATTCCAAGGATTATCTCATTTTTCACCTTTTTTATTTTAAATGGAAGAAAAACTAGCTCTTTTTGTTAAATTCAGCGATAGTGACATTAAAAAGCTGATCTCAATTGCTGCTCCAGAAATGAAGAGAAAGTCAACAAAAGTTACTTTCAATGGGCAATGCAAAAATTAATGGGAAGGTTATCAAATAATTAAACCACTTTCTGTCTTCTGTTATGTTGGCTGATGATGTCCTTCGCTGGGAGGTTATCCTCAAAATTTCACTTTTGCCCTCAAGGCATTGCTTCTCAGCCTAACCTTCATTTTCTGGACAACATTTCAGCTGTAGACATTATCAGCAAATATACTAGCTGCCAGTGTCAGAGTTAATTGGGTTAATTGAGACAAAGTACTTCCTTACTAGAAATTATGGGAAATTTGTTGTATTATCCCTTGTGTAGATGATGTGAAATCTCTCTCACTTCCTGGTGCATATAATGAGAAGATTTCATCCCTGGGTACAGCTCTTCATGGATTCACTCGACTCAAGTCCTTAGATCTGTCAAGGAATTCTCTTATGACTACTGAGGTAATAATTATGATTTGTTGGCAAAATCTTTTAGCTTTTTAAAAATGGAAGCTGTTATGTCTTATAGGTAATTTGAAAAGAAAATAAAAAGTAGTGTTCTTGACAACTGGTAATTTTTTTGATTTTGTTGAAAATTATTTTGCCAAAGGTGCAGTGAATATTCATTTGGTGAATAATACTCCAGATGAAGTCAAGGGACTATTTTACAATATTCACCAAGCCTGAGGCAAATAATTGTCTTAATTGCTTGAGTGCCTTTAAATTCTGTCATAAATATTTCTTTTAATATTGAAACTATTCTGTTTCAATTGTTTTGGTCACTCATATTGAGATTAAGAGACAGTTTCCCCCTAGAGTTTCACAGGTTCATTTAATTCAATCAGCAAAAACTTCATATCTTTCTTTTAAAAAGGGTTACTCCAAACTTTATAGCACCTTTTGTGCTCTGTGGAATTGAGTTTTCTTTATAGCCTTCATCACTTCCTTGTAAACACTGGTAAACATTAGGCAGAAATTTTGAAATTTACCTCTCCTGCTATAATCTCCTCACACAAGGTGATTATAGCGAGATATGATGCAACTGATTCTTTCTTAAAGTTCACACGGCAACCAGGTGGACAATCAGACATAGTTTGATGCTACTCTGGTTTGCAGATTTAATGAATGTAACCGAAGAAGTTACAATTCATAGAGCCAACGTTTCGACACTCCTGTCTAGTGCCTTCAATTATAAATTTATAAAACTTGAGCTTGGAGTCAGTTATAATTCACTTTCATCAGTAATGATTTCCTATTCTCAGGGTTATACTGTTAAAAAATTTTATTCCCTTCTTGTTTTGTGAATAACAGGGTCTGGAGAATCAACAAACACTGGAGTCACTTAACCTGTATCCTTCCTCGTGTTTTCAGAGAGACAGTTAACTGGATTACTGTAGAGATTTTCAGGACTGTAGTATACTTCTGCTATTTGACTCTTCCATGTAAGAAAATACCGGAAAAACAACCAAGATGTCATAACAAACTAGACTTAAAATATTCACCCAACAAACAACTCATCCCTTTCATATCACAATGACTCCCACTCAGATCTTTGAATGTAAACTATTTTAAGTAACTACCCCCACCAAGTAAATGAGAATACATGTTCAAAACAATTACTGTTCAAAGATATGTACTACTTAAAATTAATCTATACAGACATTGAGTCCCAGTTTGCATGAAACGTTTTTCTGCAAAACTTCACAACTAAAAGAATATTTGAAATTACTGTTCATAACTGAAAAGGACTGAGTGTCACATAAAAAACTCAAGGATAAGCATTGATGATGAACTCCATAGAACTAAATACAATACATATAGAAGAGTATTGTTAATGTAGTGCTCAATTTTCCTTTAATGATTTGTGGGGAAAAGCAAGTCAAAGGTCATATAGACAAGTTGTTTAATAATTAAGACAAACACAAAAAACAAGTAGTTAAAATGGAATGAAGGTTAAAATGTACTTTCAAATGTACTTTCCATGTTTGAAAATTACAACAATTTATCCACAGCAATTTGGGAAACTCATTCCCCAGTTCAAACTTGATGCATTAAAAAAAGAAGAATGAATTCTTATTGAGTCATTTCTTCTGAATTCATTATGGATATCAGTTTTTTTTTCAGGCTTTGATATTCACTGAGCCTGAGGCAAAAAGTTTTTATTTTATTAAATTTAATTACCTCAGATTATAAAATTGAAACAAAAATTTCCTATTTCTTTCAATGTTGAGTACATATAAATCACTCACATTTCATTGATCTTTGATCATTACCATTACACCATTATATTATGATAATTATTGTTTTTGATGTTGTAATCTTAACATAAATCAATAACAGATACTATAATAACATTTCAACTTTGAAGGATTTACATGGGTTAAGGAATTTGACAAATCTAAAGGTAAATAAAACTGATGTTGCAATATTTAGTGTGCAGTTGTGGCAATAGTCCATTTTACAGCTGTGCACTTGGTTGCCAAGCCTTTGAACAGGAATGAGGCTAAGGGTGACCTTGTTATGATACAAACTTTGCTGCTTTTCAAATGCAAATTACTTTGTTATCATGCTAACTAGATACTGGTCTCTATCACAACAAGGTCACCTTCAGCCTCACTCCAAATCAAAGGCTTGGCAACTAAATACACAACTATAAAATGGCTTATTAATGCATAGGACCTGCTATTGTCAGACAAAGAAATGGAATGAGATAATTTCTTAGATAATTTCTTAGATAAATCCCTTTGCATTTAATTTCTCTTTAGTATACAGTAATACTGCTGAATCATTCATGAATAAAGGAAATGTTTGCCAACTCAAGATGCTTTGATTGTCAAACAAATGCTCCTTGTCTTTACCAAAAGGAAAAGTATAAAGAGGAGTATGCAGAAGATGGATTGGATAATGATGCTTGGGCATAAAGGTTCAATAACATGTGTACTGAGTTGAAAAAATTTTTACTGAATGCTGTATAATGCAGCATAGTGAGTGTAGCATTTTACCACCAACAATTCTGTGATTTTAAATATATTATATTGTAATTACAGTCTAGCTCAAAGATGAGGGGACCAATGCGGTTAAACTTGTAGACAACAAGTCTAAGACTAAACACCAAAGACCAAACATCTTGACAGACAAACCAGATGCATCTAACACTATATGTGTATGCCTAATTACTATGTATAAGCTAGCTGATTGTTTCTCTATTGTGCAAGGGTCATTTTTGTTATTTCAATGGGCATTGTATTTGCAGTAAAAACTGTTGGTTAAACTGCACTAAATACCTGTTAATCTTCCTGTGTTTCTTACAGCTGTGTTTATTTAACATTCACCACTGTCAGTGGTCTTGTTAACTTCACACAGTTTCGGCTCACTAGCAAATTTTATCAAGGTTTGCTCATCAAATAATGCAGTACCTTTGGGTTGCATCATACTTTAAAAAGAAAATATGTCTCTTAAGCAGATCATTTTGTGCCTAACCATCCTAGATAATGAAAGAAATGTCTGCTACATAAGATACTTTGTTTTTGCTCATGATCTAATATCCACACCTAAATCTTGTTTTCCCTTATTTCAAAGGACTTAGATCTGCGGTTGAACCCAGTCACCAAAAATGAACCTGATTACCGTCTGTTCCTTGTCCACATGTTGCCAAATCTACGGCGACTTGGTAAGAAGAGGCATCTTTTTTTCAATTGATTAGCTGATATTGATATATCCTTAATAGGCCATTTTGTGTACTTAGCTGAAGAATTTTATCTGTGTGACAGGATAGCTTTTCTAGAGTTTTGGAATAATTGTTCTTTTAAGCCAGCTAAATATGTGTCAAGCGATTCTCTGCTTTTCTGCACAATGAGAGTGCCTTATCAATGTTGCAAGAGCTATAACTTGTCCATCAGTTGGCAATGAACAAGTCGGAGTAACTTGGAGTCAACCCAGCAGGATTGAGATGAAAATGTTCACTACAGTGAGATGGCAGCATGGAATGAACAATAGCAGCAGGATGGCAGGATTGGAACAGTGTACTTTAGACCTTTGAGATAGTGAGTTGAATGTGTAACAGGATGCAGTGGTCGAGCTGGTAGGGAACAAGGGGGATTAAACTGAGGACATTCAAAAGTGCTGTGAAACCACATTAGGGGGCTCTGTGAAACCAAATTCGTGGGTGTTGTGAAACCACATTCAAACTTACATGGTAACTGTAAAGGCATTCCTAAGTGATATCATAAGCTTGCTAAATCATAACAGAAAATTCCTTATTACAAAACAAAATAGTAAAAGCTACATGCTCCCATATATGTAGTTACTCTGAGAAATTACTATCTCTCTAGCGACTGTCACACTATTCCCTCCCCCCCCCTCCTCCGTTTTGCTTGTCATAACTCTTGTCAGCTAAACACTACTAGCTAACTCCCTATTACAGATGTTGGTAATCAGTAACACTTACTGTAATGTCCAGCTGTTGTTCTCATAGAAGGCCTAACAGGTCCCACAGGTAGCCTGTCATCAGTCTCTGATTTATCAGCTGTGCTCACACTAGAGTGTTTGTCTATGCTTGTGGCATTGCCTGGAACTTCTGGAACTTGAGGTTCTGCTCCAATGAGTGGTGCCAGCATAAATTCAATGGCAAGCCCTGGTTGACTGTCTTCATCAGAAGGGTCTGCATGTTGAGTTGGAAGAAGTTACTGTCTCCTTGGTCTTGCAGGTGTACTCTGCAATAAAGATAAGGGGCACACCTGTAATTCAGTTCGATTTACCACCTTGGTGCTACCTTGTCCACCAGCTGGCTCAATCTCTTAGGCCCCATTGTTCAACTGCTGAACCACTTTATGCACTCTATAGTTCCATCAGTCCTGTATCTTGTTCCTTCCTCATCTTCATTGGTCTCTGACGAGTACTAGCTGTCCAACCTGTAAGCGTAATGGTTTGGTTCTGCTGTTGTTGTCATATTACAGCTTACATAGCTCTAACTTCTTCATCAGTCTCTCTGCTGCTCTTTGGTGTGCATTTCTGAGCTCTGTTTGGTGTCTGGTGATCTGGGCAGTTTGCTCTTGACTTTAAACATTGTCCAGGTCCACCAGTCGCTCAACTGGGAGTCACAGGTCTCTCCCAAACATCAAATAGAATGGCAAGTACCCACTTTTAGTGTGCAGTGTTGGGTTGTAGGCATAGCAAAGTTCTCTCAGGTGCTCAAGCCATCTCCCCTTCTTCTATGCAGGTAGAGTTTGTAACAGCCCATGCAGGGTACAATAGAACCTTTGGCACTGGCTATCGCCTCCTGGATGATATGGTGTGATACAGGACTTCTTGATGCCGTTGATAGTGCATAGCACTCTAATGACATCAGCTTCAAAAGATCTACCTTGGTGCTAGTGGATTCCCTGTGGCACTCCATACACCAAGAACCATTCTTGGACTAAGGCTTTGGCCA